GAGATATAAGCCCCTGAAATAATAAATTCCTATTACAAATATACTGAATTATTTATATTGTTATATTGACCAAATAATAATTTATTGCCAAATGAATAATAATAATTTATATTGTTAATTTAAATAAGAATTAAAATTGTTAATTTGAATGTTTGAAATATGACACACGATAGGGGCGCCTCTAGTGTCCGTTATCAAACGGTTACGGGACGGACGGAAGGACGGATACATATTGAATGGGTTATATATATAGATGATACTAAGTTATGCATAGGTCCCACATAGTTTATGATGAGCTTTTCATGGACTATGGAGTCTTTTAAAGCATGTAGATGAGTTCAGGGAAACATGCTCAACCAGCCTCACATCAGACCTGATCACAGTGACACTGACAATACATAGCAACAATATTTACCCAGTTTATCAGAATATTCATATATCAAATTAAACCAAAATTAGTCAACTGTGGGGACATTATTTCACTTTCATTTTGTGTTTGTTTTATTCAGTCTGTTTCAACGTTTTAAGGTTTGGATTCAAATGCAGTATGCTCAAAATATTTATATTTCTAATAAAATTCACATATTCTACTTGTTATGATTTTGCAAAAAAGTTCAATAAATGGAATTGATTTTCAAATTCAGCACACCAACTTTATGATAAATCAAGTTCAGGCAATGATTCCAAGGTTTCAATTTACTTCAAATTTAATAAAATTAGTCTACATTGTTATATCAAGCAGAGATCAAATTAGAGATAAATTTCTTTAATAACATTCAAAGTCTTTAATTTTTATTATAATTAAATTTAATAATTCAGCAAAAAAAACTATCAGACTATATGTTGTAATTAAGAAAAACATTTAATAAATAAATAAATATGTATATATTTTATAATGATAATTAATATTTAAATTATTAAAAAATAACTGAATTAGTCATAATTTCAGCATCAACAATAATTTTGAAATGCGAGATGCTAAACAACAAAAAGATGCAAGGATATTTTCTCAGTAAATTTTCTGTTTTGCATATGTAAGATTTAAAATTTCAACAACCTGATGATTGATTAATAAATTTTCCTTAATGAACAACATTCCAAAATTGATTTTGTTAAAAATATCATTGCTTATAATGATTAAAATATATATTTTTAATCAAGTATAAACAATGATTATTAAATCCAAATACATTACTTTTGTTTTAAAGTATGGTAATTTATTTTAATTTTCAATACTTAAGATACTCAAAATACAATAGTATGCCTATAAATTATGAAGAGAAAACACATGTTTTATCAGGATACCAAACATTCTTTTTATTTCATTCTATTTTGAAAACAGCTTCAGCTCAAAAATTCAAAAAAAACAAATGGCACCATTACAAAAGAGCATCAGATTGAACAATTTTTGAAACATTGTAAATTTTGACAAAGAAGTTTTAATTATTTACTATATCTAGAAGCTATTTTGTAGATTTTTAAATGGTTTTCAACTCTCCATCCTCCATCCAATCTCAAAAAACATGACCAATAAAACTGTGGTTTTAAATTTTATATTGAACAAATTATAAATAATTTTATCATTCTTATACTTGTACATTAACATCATAATTTTAATTATATGTGTATATATTTATAGCTACTTTTATCATAATTTGCACGTTAAAATTTATTATATAATATTCTTGAATTGTATTCATTTCATTAAACTGATATTAATACAGTAGAGCATCGATTATCCGACCCCCGATTAACCGTCACCTCAGTTAACTGACCGTGTTTGTTAATTTGAATGTTTGAAATATGACACACGATAGGGGCGCCTCTAGTGTCCGTTATCAAACGGTTACGGGACGGACGGAAGGACGGATACATATTGAATGGGTTATATATATAGATGATACTAAGTTATGCATAGGTCCCACATAGTTTATGATGAGCTTTTCATGGACTATGGAGTCTTTTAAAGCATGTAGATGAGTTCAGGGAAACATGCTCAACCAGCCTCACATCAGACCTGATCACAGTGACACTGACAATACATAGCAACAATATTTACCCAGTTTATCAGAATATTCATATATCAAATTAAACCAAAATTAGTCAACTGTGGGGACATTATTTCACTTTCATTTTGTGTTTGTTTTATTCAGTCTGTTTCAACGTTTTAAGGTTTGGATTCAAATGCAGTATGCTCAAAATATTTATATTTCTAATAAAATTCACATATTCTACTTGTTATGATTTTGCAAAAAAGTTCAATAAATGGAATTGATTTTCAAATTCAGCACACCAACTTTATGATAAATCAAGTTCAGGCAATGATTCCAAGGTTTCAATTTACTTCAAATTTAATAAAATTAGTCTACATTGTTATATCAAGCAGAGATCAAATTAGAGATAAATTTCTTTAATAACATTCAAAGTCTTTAATTTTTATTATAATTAAATTTAATAATTCAGCAAAAAAAACTATCAGACTATATGTTGTAATTAAGAAAAACATTTAATAAATAAATAAATATGTATATATTTTATAATGATAATTAATATTTAAATTATTAAAAAATAACTGAATTAGTCATAATTTCAGCATCAACAATAATTTTGAAATGCGAGATGCTAAACAACAAAAAGATGCAAGGATATTTTCTCAGTAAATTTTCTGTTTTGCATATGTAAGATTTAAAATTTCAACAACCTGATGATTGATTAATAAATTTTCCTTAATGAACAACATTCCAAAATTGATTTTGTTAAAAATATCATTGCTTATAATGATTAAAATATATATTTTTAATCAAGTATAAACAATGATTATTAAATCCAAATACATTACTTTTGTTTTAAAGTATGGTAATTTATTTTAATTTTCAATACTTAAGATACTCAAAATACAATAGTATGCCTATAAATTATGAAGAGAAAACACATGTTTTATCAGGATACCAAACATTCTTTTTATTTCATTCTATTTTGAAAACAGCTTCAGCTCAAAAATTCAAAAAAAACAAATGGCACCATTACAAAAGAGCATCAGATTGAACAATTTTTGAAACATTGTAAATTTTGACAAAGAAGTTTTAATTATTTACTATATCTAGAAGCTATTTTGTAGATTTTTAAATGGTTTTCAACTCTCCATCCTCCATCCAATCTCAAAAAACATGACCAATAAAACTGTGGTTTTAAATTTTATATTGAACAAATTATAAATAATTTTATCATTCTTATACTTGTACATTAACATCATAATTTTAATTATATGTGTATATATTTATAGCTACTTTTATCATAATTTGCACGTTAAAATTTATTATATAATATTCTTGAATTGTATTCATTTCATTAAACTGATATTAATACAGTAGAGCATCGATTATCCGACCCCCGATTAACCGTCACCTCAGTTAACTGACCGTGTTCTAGTCGGCAAATTCAAATGTCCACTAGTGATGTGGCGCTACAATATTTGGTTATGTCTTGGCTACTTTAATATTATTTTTATGTGTTTTAGCTGGCAACACTGGATCAACCATAAAAGGGAGCCAGTATTTAAACGAGGCTTAATTTTCTAATTTTTAACGATACAATAGCGACTATTATTATTTTTAAAAAAAATTTGATAGGCTTAACATGGAGGAAAATTCAATGCGAAGTAGGTTAATAGCGATATACTAATATACTAATTACATGGGATATAATAATATACTACACTAATAATGGATTTTTTCATACTTTTTGGTTATCCAACTTTTCAATTATCTGACCAACCCCAGTCCCCAATTGAGTCGGATAATCGATGCTCTACTGTATATAAAAATAATTAAACGTATTTAAATTATTATTTAAAAAAACAATTAATTTTTTTAGAATTAATCCATTTTAAATAAAAAGATTCTTAACAGGAAAATTAAAATTAAATTAATCTCTGTTTTGTGTACTTTGTATTTTCTTCCAATCAGATGATGTTTTTTTAAATTATTCTATCAAGAAGATTAAACAAATAATCATTAATACAAATTAATAATGTTTGTATTATTATTAATTTGTAATTAATTAATTAATAATTATATTTATATCAACTTTAACAGCTCAATTATTTATTCTAATTTTAAAAGCTCATTTGTCATATTTACCAAGTTTAATAAGTTCATTATTACAAAATATTTTTTCTAACAGAACATCCCACTGGTCAGGTTTAAGACATTTTCTTAGTTGAATCATATCTAATAAATATATATTATCCCAAACAGCTAGTTGAAGTAAAGCAACTCTATAATTATAAAATATGTATTAAAAAAATTATAAAATAAACGTGTTGATTTGAAAAATATATAGACAATTATACCTTGATTTCTGAAAACCTAATGATGGTTTCCACTCAGCATCAATTCCCACAATAGCATTCTAAAAATAAAATTAAAAATGACTTTTATTTCAATTTTTAATTTACATTAATATTGTATTTTTTAATAATAATAAGCATAAACAGTATTATTTTGAAAGTATTAATCCAAAATTTTTTCTTATTAAATTTATATATAAGTTTTCGTTTAAACTAATTTTTTTTAAATATAGAAATTTATAATATAAACAAACAAAAATTGTTAAAGTATTTTAATTACCTCAGAAATATCATTAAGACATTTCAAATATTCTTCAGGAGTATCAATCATGTGGATTTTATTAAAATTTAGTCTCAATTGAAGATAATTTGAACTATCTGTTTCATCTTCACGTTTAAAAGTTAGTGTTAATTTATTGCTTAATGAAAAAATTTGATTACATTATTTTATACAAGAACATTACAATATAAGAGTAATAATAAAATCACCTTACTTTTTATTTTCTTCATATGCTTTTTGAAGAGATGGTGGAAATTCTCTAATAGGCAAATTTAAAAATGTTACCCATTTTACAGCACATTCCATATCATTCATACATATCAATTCCATAATAAATTCTTTTTGAAGATCAATATTGTCCTCTATTATTATCTATAAATAATCAATATTTTTAATTTAACAGTATTTCAAAATTTTAAAATATTTAAATTTCCCTAATCCAATTACACTTGAAAAACTGAGACTTATTTATTTTTCATAAACTATTTCTTAATATATCAAGCTCTAGTTTTTTAATCCTTACTGTATGTTACTCTAGGTTTGTGGTTTGTGTACTTGTAGAATGACGGCATCTATAAATAGTTGTTCTTTGAATTGAGTGTTTTGTAGAGCATAGAAAGGTACAGTACATGATAGTCTATATTGTGTAGGATGTCTGGTATTGTTGTCTTTGAGTTTTATGTGTGACACTATATATAAGAAAATTTGATATGTCTTGTGGGTTGCTGATTATGTGTATAAAATGTTTAGCTAGATCCTTGTTCAGACACCTAAATTTTTTGTACCAGAAATTATGAATGTTGTCTGCACTGGGTGTTTTCCAGCTATGTATTCTTTGTACTGCATGTTGGATGAAAGAGAAGCCCAATAGTCTCTGAGTTGTTTTTCTGTTAGTATGCCATTATTAAATCTGTCTCAAGTTAATTTATTAAAAGGCAAAAAATTTATTCCATGCCTTTAAAACTTCTTCATACTAAATGATATGTACTGTACATATAAAACATTTTGCATATGGTAACTGTATATTATTTATTACTATAATTTCAATTAAATTTGAAGTCTATAACAATGATGAATAACCTTTTCTGCTTGCAAGCCATAAGTAAACTTTGCAAGCTTCTAGCAGGCTGTGTATTTTTTTTTATTAGAGTTGCAGGCTTTAAGCATGCTGAATACCATAACTACCAGTATACTGGGTACTAAAATAATATATGCTAATGATATACAAACTCATAATATAGTTTATTCTCATCTTTTCACTAGTCAAATTCAGTTGGAATGTTCATCATAAATATAGCATGTTGCATAATGATTTAAAGTAGAAAACAAAAAATAAAATTGCATTGACAAAGTCCCAAGGCCCTAATATGTGAATTAGAGTTTCATAAGTTCTATATGACTGGTCTAAACATCATCATTTAAAAGTTCACACAAAAAACTTTCAAACAAATTAAAAATTTGTCACATAATTAAACTCTAAGGCTATCAACTGAACTTCTTTAAAAATTTAAACTTTTTAATTTAAAATTATAATAGTATTCTTAAAATTTTAATTGAGATAATTTACATTTCAGTAAAAACGAATTAGCTCAACTGAAGCTTTATATGAATTTCAATAGTTGCTACAATATATTATTTTAAAAATTACCTTAATCATATCATTCCAACAATCTTCAGTAATGTCTTTCTAAAATTAAATATAATTTACATATTAAAAGCACATTTAAAAAATATGTAAAAATTTTTATTAAATAATAATAATTTCTTTAATATTTTAATCCAAAACTTCACATACAGTTGAACTTATGAATGATTCAAGTCAATTTATTTAAAATTTCAATAATGCAAGTAAACAAATGTCATTAATATATTAAATGTGAAAATCTTTTGATCATATTTTATTGCATTTGATTAGATAGAAAGGATTAAAATATTGTAAAATATTTTATAAAAATTTTTATATTTAAAAATCTTTTATAAGTTGAGTTTCATAAAGATATTCAACAAACGAAAAATCAATGTTATATGAAATTACATAAAAGTTCTTTATAACAGTTAACTTTTAGAAAGAAAAACCACAAATGGAGAATTAAAACTGAGATTTATTTCTGATACACATTGTTACCTTTCCAATATTTTTACATTATGCAAATCTGACAATGTCCACTAAACATCAAAAAATATTTAAAATTACAGAATATTGCTATTAAATAACAGAAATTTTGACAATCACATTTTATATTAATTATCAACATAAATAAGAATATGAAAATTAATTTAAAATATAAGNCGCGGACCCCAAGGGGGTCGCGAAGCCTTACACGGGGGGTCGCGGGTAAAAGAAAATGACAAGTGTTTGTAAGTCCTACACTACATTAAAAAAAAGTACAATTTCAGCGAGAATTACGGCCCACCTCAGATAATGATAGCGGAAAAAGTGTGGAGCTGATTACTAAACGCTGACACTAAACACGTTAAAGGACTAGCAGACTTTGCAGCTGCATCAGCTTGTAAAATTCACAAAATTTTAAACTTTTAAATGTTAAATAGAATTTTAAAAAAATGAGAAAATCAAAAATAAATTAATACTAATTTTAACAGCTTGTATTAATTTTTAGTTAATTTTTAAATTATTTTTTTAACTTGTTTAATCTTCGACTGGGTTATGTTGGTATAAGAGGGAAAGAACTGTATTTTGGACATTTATAACAAAAACTGTTAAAATACCTGTAAAAAAGCTTTAAAATTGCATAATCTAATTTTAATTTGAAATGTTTTCTAGATGTATTTAAGATTTCAGTACCATTTCCAAGTTTTTTGTTTTGCAGATATAAGTAAAATAATAATCTTACAATAATAAATTAATCAAATAAAATTGAATATTTTTATCTAGACACAACTTTTGCTGAAAAAGTATAAAATCTAGGTTTAAACAGAATACAACACTTAAACTACTGAATCCAATTACAGTAGAGCATTGATTATCCGACCCCCGATTAACCACCACATCAGTTAACCGACCGTTCTAGTCGGCAAATTTCAAATGTCCGCTAGTGATGTGGCGCTACAATATTTGGCTATGTCTTGGCTACTTTAATACTATTTTTGTTAACTTTTTGCGTATTTTAGCTGGCAGCACTGACTCGACCATGAAAAGGAGGCCAGTATTTAAATGAGACTTAATTTTCTAATTATGAGTGGTTGTTTGTTTTGTGAGCAATAAAATAATTTAAAAATAATTTTTAACGATACAATAGCGACAATTATTATATTTAAAAAAATTTTGTTAGGCTTAACATCGATGAAAATTTAACGCGAAGTAGGTTAACGATATACTAATATACTAATTACATGAGATATACTAATATACTATACTAATAATGTATTTTTTTTCATTCTTTTCGGTTATCCGATTTTTCAGTTATCCAACCAACCCGAGTCACCAATTGAGTCGGATAATCAAAGCTCTACTGTATTATTAATAATAAATGAGTAACAAAAACTCATAATGATGAGTTTAAACTTAATTTTTCTCAATATTTGTAGTTTAAATTATTTTGCAGTAAGACTAAATTTTTACCAGTATATTAAAATTTATTTGGAAAGTCATTAGACTAGAATATTACAGATATTNACCTAATTTAGGCCTATATACTGTACAGAAGATAGTAAACTCAACTTACCCACCTAAACTCTCCATACGTGTAAGTAGTTAGGCTGCTCATCCACTATTGGTCCAGATTTGACCAATCCTGTTGCAACACGAGTCGGCGATGAAGTTTTACCGCATTTTACGAGTCTCTTTTAGCGTCTTTATACGAATACGGTCACAATTTTTTCACCGCAATATACGAATCCGCATTATATGAACCCGCGTTATAGGGGGGTCTACTGTATTATTGTCTGAGGATGGCCATTATTGGCAAAACATGGATGTTATGTAATGAATGAAATAAAAATCCTTTTAATTGTAAGTTTTTTGAGTGATGGAATATGAAAAACGTGTGTGGTATTTTCTTCTTGAGAATTTAAGTAAAGTTAATCCATCATTCACATCATACTTCAAATGTTTAATATTAAGTTTAAACTCTTTAAATGCTGCTGCATCAGCTTGTAAAATTCACAAAATTTTAAACTTTTAAATGTTAAATAGAATTTTAAAAAAATGAGAAAATGCTAGTTGAAGAGATGGTGGAAATTCTCTAATAGGCAAATTTAAAAATGTTACCCATTTTACAGCACATTCCATATCATTCATACATATCAATTCCATAATAAATTCTTTTTGAAGATCAATATTGTCCTCTATTATTATCTATAAATAATCAATATTTTTAATTTAACAGTATTTCAAAATTTTAAAATATTTAAATTTCCCTAATCCAATTACACTTGAAAAACTGAGACTTATTTATTTTTCATAAACTATTTCTTAATATATCAAGCTCTAGTTTTTTAATCCTTACTGTATGTTACTCTAGGTTTGTGGTTTGTGTACTTGTAGAATGACGGCATCTATAAATAGTTGTTCTTTGAATTGAGTGTTTTGTAGAGCATAGAAAGGTACAGTACATGATAGTCTATATTGTGTAGGATGTCTGGTATTGTTGTCTTTGAGTTTTATGTGTGACACTATATATAAGAAAATTTGATATGTCTTGTGGGTTGCTGATTATNATAATAATCAATATATTCATAGTTTAATATTTTATTATAGAGTTTTGAAAGAATTTTTCAGCATCTTTATAAATAGTTTTAACTTAAAAATAGTACAATATATTTATATGTTGTATAATATAATCTAAATATATAAAATTACTTGTCCTGACTGACTGATTCATCATCGCCCAGAGCAAACCGCTGAACCTAAAGAGGTGAAATTTGATACACAGTTAGGGTAAGTCATGAAAACGTGCACTAAGAAGGGATTTTTTGAGATTCTCCCACAGGGGGAGAGGGAGAGGATTAAGGCTTAACCAGAAGAACGGCTTCTACTGTACTATTTTAGATGCAATTTTTTGTTTTTATCTGCGTTTAGTCTTCATTGAGTACTTAGGTGTATTAAATTGATAACATTTCAGGTATTGTTATAAATATTTTTATCTATTTCGATTTTAAAAATGTTCAAACCGTTTTAAATTCGAATTTGTTATTGCATATTGGTTTGATTATAGAATGATTGTAAACGTTCCAGAAAATTGATCAAATTGAAAACATTTCGTTTGATTCTCGGCAGTTCTCATCATTCTCAGCGGTAGGTGTTATATAACAATTACTATGGTTGTTGAAATACTGAATATAAATGGGGTTTGCTTGCAAAATCCTTGCAGGCAAAGCCGCAGGTAACAGCTAGTAGTACAATATATGTATTTGCATATACTAAATCATTCAAAATCAAGTGTTAAAAGCATAAGAAATATGAATAATACATTAGCATTTATCCATGTTTAATTTAAAAAAAAAAAAACTACAATCAATTCAAAATTAATAGATAATTTAATAAATTTTTTGTATAGTCAAAATATTTTAAATTTATAACATCTACACTGAAAATTTTAGATTTTTGTTAAGATCTGAAGACAATAATAATATTGTCAAGTAAAAATACTATTAATTGACCATATATACAAAAATTAAAATGCAATAATTTCTAAAGTGTTTAACTTTCTTTGAAAGTTATTTTGTATAGTTTAAAATAACAAATTCTATACTATTTTAATAAAGATTATAATGTAAAATAACAAAAATATTAAATATATAAAAGCACATCAAAATGAAGACAAGAATCTCATGTCACATTATAATTCTAACTTCTTCCTCTTCTATATAGATGCCTCTAAGGCAAAAATATTTATTGATTTTTTCAAAATTTTCATCTAATTTAGAAATTTTACAATGTTACTTGTGTGATCAAAATAAATTCATATTTAAAATTTGTATTTAAAAAGTCCCTATTCCTCAAAGTAAGATTCATTATTGTAACAGTTTAAAATTTATGATGATACTTTTCTAAATTTTGTGTTGTAGTTTGAAAAAGTTAATATCCATTTAAAATCTTAGAAACAAGCTGCTTCTCTTATGACCTATCAGATCTACTTTCCTCATAGATCATACTGGACTTTTAAAAAAATATAAAATTGGACTTCGAACTCACATTTGAGTTATAAATAAACACTTGGCTTTAATTCCATCATTTTAGTTGAATCAACTAAAATGATGGAAATAAAGCCAAGTGTTTATTTATAACTCAAATGTTAGTTTGAAGTCCAATATATTCGCAAAATACGGTTTCGAAAACAACATATAAAATATAAAATCTTTCAATATTTTTAGTGATGAAGATAACTTGGTTCTTTTTTCTTCAGATGCATTTTAAAGACCTCTCACTGTAGAATTTTGAAAAATTAATTATTTTAAAAATTATCTATTTTATTTTCTGAAGATTTTTGGGCCATAATATTTATAAGATTCTATAAGAATCTTTAAGCATTCCTTGAAATACTTGTATTAACAGGATATCTATTACAACAGAGTTTAAGATTCTTTTTACTAGTTTCTTTAGATCTGTTTATAATGGATATTGTAATCAAAACCTCTAATTCAATCTATTATCATCACATTAAATATAAATTTAATTAATCAATTATATATATATTATAATGTGTATTTATTTACTTTAAAAAGACAAAATGATTCATAATAGCATGATATATATAAAACATCCAAACAGAAACTCCAGTTTGATAACATAAATGTAATGCAAAACAAACATTTTTGATTGTCTTAAGCAACCACCATCAGATCACAGAAATATTCTGAACAAGAACATAAATTTGAAACAGACAAATTTAAAAGGTCATCTGTTCCAAATTTATCTTCTTATTTAGAATATTTCTGTTACCTAATGATGATTGCTTAAGACAATCAAAAACATTTGTTTTGCATTAAATTTATGTTTTCAAACTGAAATTTCAGTGTTTGCTGGATGCTTTATATAATATAATCCAGTTAGTAAGTTATTTTATTCATATAATATGATTTAAACTTACCACTTGGAATATTATAATTCTTTAAAAGCTTTTTTAGTAACTTGTCTATACTTTTATTATTTAATTGATCTCTTCTTAACCCTTTTAATGATGAAAATTTGCTGTAATTGGTTTAATGCAAAAAATTAAAAAATTTATTATACAGTAGTTTAAGTATCAACTTTTTAAAATTTTAACTTACTTTAAAACTTTTTTAGATTCAGATAAATTGCAATGTAAATTGTCCAGATACATTACTAATTTTATTTGAAGATCTCTATTAGATTTAATGAAGTCTTCTACAAGATTATGATTATTTTGTAAAAGTAAAGGTATAACAACCTGTTTTAAAAATAAATATAAAACTTAACAACATTAGACTTATAAATAAAATTGGTAAGTTGAGTTGCTTCCATTTTCATTATTTATGTAGAGAATTGTTTCAAAATATCACAAGATGATTCTTTATTTTAAGTTTATAATCATTTGGAAGGATATTAGTTTCCTCTTTTTAGAACTGAGCACTTTTTTGACACTTTTTCTTTTTTCATTTAAATTGAGTATTTTATGTATTTTCTATTTATATTTATAAATCTGTTATTAATAAAAATTTATAATATTTTTGATATTTAAATACAATTCAGAATGATTGACTATGGAGAATATAGAACAACTAAAGTGTGTAAGTACAATGCTTTTCTATTTGTAAACTGTGAAACTGATGGATCAGATTCCAAAAGGACTCAAATTTTCTATAACCTTCTCAAATTTTACATGTTCTTTTATGCACAATAAAATGATGGTTTTACTTTTATGTTTTTAGGGACACTACTTTTGTGAAAATCCATTTTTAGTCTTTATTTTAATGAAAAATTTGTACCTCAACTTTCCAAGTATACTTATAAATATCCAAATATAAAGATAAAATAGTTAAAATAATAATATAAATTAATTACTGATTAAGTTTTTAAAAATAAAATATACACATAAATGTATAAAAATTTTAAAACATTTTAATTCCGACAAGCTAATAATATTTACTATATTTTAACTATATTATAAGAATATTGTGCATTATAAACTTTGTTAGAACTGTCATATACATTAAATATAAATTTTTTCATCCATTTGAAAGGCTTCTTTTAGCTACAGAATAAGAATCTACTACATCATTTACTTACACTACTTTTAATAATTTAAACAATATTTACAATTGTACTTTTTACTAAATTGTGATTGGAATTGCTTTAAAAACTAAGGAAAATGTTTATAATCGTTTTATAATCATTATTTTCCTTAGTTTTCCATATTTTTTTATAAATTTATTATAAAATAAAAAATATTAATATATTAAAAAATCATAAAAATAATTTATCATTTTGCAAAAAATTGGTGTATTTCTTAAAGAATTTTTCAGAAAAAATTGTATTGAATACAATGTCGTCATAAGCAATTTGGCATTTTTAGTCATAAAAAAATCCATTAATTAGCACCCTCTGCTAAACAACAGGTTATTCGTGACATTAATTTCAATTTTATTTCTATTAATCAACATTTTATGTAAAATTTATAATTGTATATACTATTCTATAATGACAATATGTGCATAAATTAAAGCATTCTTTTAATTTAAAAACTTTTATGTTAATTATCAGTTTAATGTTGTGTGGTAAATTATAGATAACTTGAAAGTGACATATTGAGAATGCTGGATGTACATGATTGTGCATGTATGTTTTGCTCAGTGCTATATTTGTGATATTTCTGTTCCATTATAATATCACCTGATAGAACAAATATTGCCATAACTAGTAAGAATAAATTTTCTTGATTAATTGATAATTCTGTATTCTATGATCAACACATCGATTAATTGGTCTGATTCAATAACAATTATATTCTAATTGGTTGTGCAGTAGGACTAAACATAATACACAAAAATGAAAGAAAAAGCCCACAAATACACGATCTGTTATATACCATTTAGCCTAGAACCCACTTACACTCACATACTGTAAAAGGACTTTTTTAACAAGAAGTTACATAACACTACAAGGACATCATATCAATAATGATGTGAGAACCTGGACTTCTACCAAATATAACACATTGAGGCAGTCACTGCTCATTCCTCCACAACTCAACAAATCGCCATCCGTTTTTCTGATGGTTATAGTCATCACCTGGTCCTCTAATAGAAGTCGTCACCACTCCTTAACCCATCATGCTTATGCTGTGCCTCCTACTTGGATTAACTTCTTCACTGAAATGGAATACTTAATTGTGTTCCAATAGGACTAAACTTCGTCACTGAAACTCAGGACAATCCTACATTTCACCTCTATTCCTAGGACAAGGAGATTACCATGTCTACTAGCAAATCAGGCAACTTCAGGTATTTACGTCTACATGAAATATCCTGTAAATTCTTTCTCTAGTGACCACCTATAGTGTATAGGTTAGTTATTTCGACATAGTATGATGTATATATCATGTAATTCTTTTTTCTTTTCAAATAAATGTAATTAGTTGTTAAACTGGCATCTGAGTGATTCATTTCTGACTTGCCAACTCTCCAACCTCCTCCACACGACTCACTGTCTCTCAGATCTCCTCCATCCCAAATTCGAGCACCTGCACGCACAACTGCTTACATGACCTAACAAAAACAAAAGCTAATGGCCATAGTGGTTTCTGTGTCTTCTGAAAAAGACACAGTAATGTCATCCTGACATGGACATCACCAATGTGATGTCAACCCTCCAGTCAAGTGGTGCAGAAGCAATAGGGAGTGCTTCACACATTGTCAAAATATTAAATGAAAAACTGGGATAAACAAAGCAACAGTAATATTATGCAACTAATTTAGAAGAATAACTGAGAAAATGCAAATTGATAACACTTCTATAGAACTACCAAAAAAATAAAATAAAATAAAACATTGAGTTCTATCTCCTCAAAAAAAGAGCAACATCAAACTTGCAATAATTATTAAAATCATGTATGCAATGAACATTTGTATCGTGTAATTGTAATTTGCTAAAGTAATAGTTTCTTTTTGTTTTGTTTTTTGCAGCTTAGAATAATAAATAAAATTTACAGTCTATTCAACTTTGTGTTTATAAACAACATACCCAGTAATAAAAAGAATAAAATTGCAATCAAATATACATTTTTAAAATTACAATTATCAAAAAAGTTACCTTGAACTCTACAGTACATTGTAAAAGTATGTGAAAAAATACATTGAGTATATGACACTTTGTATATGAAGCATCCTATAGATGCACTCAATCATATTTCAATAGTGCACACAACTATGGGTGCATTTACATGCTTCATTTAGCTTGAGCTGCATCATAAATGCAGCTCAATTTCAAAAGGAATATAATCAATCTCAGCAATTAATCTATGTTATAAAAATATCAATTTATGCAATTATTTTAACCATAATTAGTCAATATTAGTCAATTATAAATGACCAATTGCCATTACTACCTGATACAAGACCAAGTAACCAAATTTTAATGGGGAAAAGCATAAACTTTGAAGAGAGATGGTGTAAGTACATTTTAAAACAAATTTGACAATTACAAAGAAATTAATGAAGAGAGATGGTGTAAGTACATTTTAAAACAAATTTGACAATTACAAAGAAAAAAATTATCACACAGTACTTTGAAGTGATGCTGTGTGATAGTCAATAAAATTATCATAAACATATATTTTTAGTCAGTATAATGATACGATGACCTATGCAATAGTTTGTTTTATTGTACTTAAAGTTGTCTTGCTAAAAAAGGAATGTTCTAAAGAACTTTCTATCAAAATCTTACATCAACCCAGCCACTTGTTTTAAAATTGTGAGCTTCAAATGATTAGTATGCTTTCATGTGGTTGAGTTAAAAATTTGGATATTAACTTAATTAAGACAATGTGTTGCCATATTCCATCTTTGGTCATGAATATCTTCTACGAATGAATATGAGTCATCTTTATACTCCACCATCATTACAAATTTTACTTTTGTACTAGTCAATGTCTTGACCAATAAGAGTTGTTAAATAACCTGGTAAAAAGTGTGTTTTGCCATCTACACGTGATAAATGTTCAGATACAAGCCAAACTATATACATCTCCACAAGTAGCACAGCACAAATATAATGTGGGAGGTAGAGCAATGACAACTTGGTCATGTAAAATGTCATTCATGCAAGTTCTCTATATGGTAGGCTTAATTACTTTTATGACTTAATTCAAATTTTTGAAACTAAAATAATTGTTATTAATTGGTTCAAAATTATTGTTTTATTTCATGTGCACTAATTTTCAAAGATATTTTTACATGTTTGGAGGAAATTTTGCATCCTAAAAATATTCTGTATCTCTGTTTATGTGTACCATCTTGAATGCAAATTCTATAATTTATTTTTAAAAGAGCAATTTTCTAGAAAAGGAATTATATTTTTTTATATTTTTAGAATTCAAATCACAATGATTTTTAAAAAGACAAATTTATTGAAAAGTGTAGATCAAAACAAATTGTGTAAAAAGATAATTGAGTTTTTCCCAGACTTTTAAATTAAAATTAGGTAAAAAAAAAATCAATTTAAAAACAAAATTGGATATACAGCAAGTCCTCGTTTAACAATAACACATCCAAAACCTTTAAATTTCCGTTATGAAATGAATAAAGTCACTGAACTAATGTTTTCTATCTTTAACCAAGATCTTCATCAGGTTCATTGTCATTCTAAAAATGGAATGTTAGAAAGTTTACAACCTTCAGCATTTATTTCCATCTCATAGAATCAATTTTATGGTTTATTTTAAAGAAAATTCAACAATAATAATTGTAAAGGATGCATATGTACTTTTACCTTTCTTCAATGTTATAACATAACATTATGTGAGGACTTGCTGTACTTATATTTTTCTATGAACTATTACATTAAGATGCCAATTTAAAATATTTTCTAACAAAGGCAATTTAAAACAATTAATATTCAAAGTTAATGCACAGAGATCAAATTTATGTAGTTCTTTTGTACAGATTATCTGTAGGACAAAAAGTACATTATTTTGATTGATCAATAATGTTATAGAATGCTTTAGATACAAATATTAAATAAAAACAAATAAATAGTTTGTGTAAATTTAAATGGAATATACTTTACATCAGATTTATTAACTCAATTGCCAAATGGGTTTAATTTTTATTGCTACCTGTGAAGTATAATTAGTGTTTTGGTTGTTATGACTTAATTTTATTTGTTTACAGTTCTTATACTAGTTCTTTGTTTTGGGTAGTTATGAACAGTGTTGTGAAGTCACTGGATGTTTGTAATTGCCAGACATTTTTAGGCAGAGTTGGAGTTGGTAAAATTCTTCCAACTCCAGTGACTCCGACCTCAAAGTTTAGTATTGGTAAAATGTTCTGTAAGAAAAATATTTTTAATTAATTAGTATTAAAAGAAATTTCTTAGATAATGGGACTGAACTTCAATAAATTTATATATCAAAATGATATTAACCCATAATGGTCATTTCATAGCAAAATGTTATGCATATCTCACATGACATGCTCTATAATTTCAGAAAATAGTTTTTATTAATTTAATGCCCACCAGTGGCTGAGTGGATAAAACCACTGGTAGTTAGTTGTGGGATTGTACCTGGAAAGTAAAAGTTTATGGTATCACTTTGAAGCACCAAGCTTATCTTTACTGAAAATAAGTTCCAAAAGAAAAAAATCTGACTTTCATATCAGGTGCCATAATGTTTACTTGTCACAATATTTTTTACATCTCAGATGTTTTACTTTAAATATCAATTTTTTTTACTAATTTGACTAATTAATTTTTTACTGCCCTTCTATTGCTTTCAAGTTATTTGTGATTATTATGGCTTTGATAACATAATTTGGTCTTAAAACAGTCAATAGAAAAACAATGAAAAAAGTAAAACCAAGATCACAATCTAACTGCAACAAACTAAAAGAGGAAGAAAAACTGCAAAATGCAATTAATAGGATTGTTCCTATTATTCACTGGCTTAAATTCTCAGGGCATAATTGCACCCTTTGGTTCAAGATGATATGAAATTTGGAAAAAAAAATCAATTTTGAAATTCTGTTATATACTTCAGTTTAGTCAGCCCTCAGAATGAAATTAACTATTCTCATAGTAGCTGGAGTGGGAGAAACTATTTTATGGACTAATTTATTACATTATTCATCAAATCATTATTTTTTGCATTTTATTGTATTTAATTTCTTTTTTAAAAAATATTTAAATTTAAATCAATTTTTATAATTAACTAATAAAAGTAGAATTCTTTTGGTTATTAAGATGTGGTGTGTTTCTTTATACACTCAAAAGTTTTTTTAAGGTAAATTTATTCTATCTGTGGTATCTTTCTTATAAAAGGAATAATAGTGTGACATTTTAAAAAAGAGTAAGGTCAGAGCTGCACATTGCAAATTTGCCAAAGTCAGAATCAAACTTTTTGTTTACTGATTCCACCACACTGGTTATGAAAACAGTGTTAATATACTGACTTTTCCTTTATCAAGATGTGTAAAAAGTAAAATAAAGCAATATTTTATTTTCTTTATCTTGACAATAAAAAAAAGGGTTGTTATTACATTTAAAAACATTTTGCAAATTTAATCTCACTGAATCAACATTAATCTTTACTGAAAATTATGTTAATAAACTGTAACTACATTTATATATGTTCTTATTCTTAAACATTAATTTCAGGTAAGCTTTTTTAAATATTCAAATAATATTAAATTTGGATATTCTTTTATATAAAAATATAATTATAAAATGTACTCACATCTTCTAATTCAAATTTGTCTTGTAAATTCAATGTCATAATGCATATTGCAGCCTGAAAAAATATATGCATTAATAAAATGTTTTTTAAACTAAATATCAACTAACTAAACTAAAGATAACTAAACATTGAAATGTATTTAGTATACTGTATATTATAATTCACTTACCTCTGGGAATCGATTATTTCTAATAAGATTTTCAATAATATGATACAGTTTATTCCCATCTTCTGAAATCTTATATATTTCACAAACAAGAATAATTAACGACCTGTTAGATTGTTCTAAAACAGCATATAATGCTTTTATTTTTATTTCTAGATTTAACAAATGTTCGTCAGCATTTTTTCTATCTTTTAACCATTCTTGAAAAATCAACATAACCTTATAAGCTATTCTTGATTTGATTTTATAAAAATCTGGAGCATTTACCATTAAGTCTAGAGCAGTTAAATAACAATTTGAACTTCTTTCAATAATTCTAATAATGTCATCTTTCATGTATTCTAAATCAGTGTAATTACACTTAAAAATATGTTCTTGTGACATTTTTTACTTTAATGGATCTGTAAAAAAAATGCAAAGTCTAATTAAGTTATTCAATATTTACATTGAATTTACAATAAAACAGTCAAGTGGCCAAACCTTATGATAGGAGCCATACACCATATAGGATCTGGTTTTCACATATTTCATATAGGATATATAGGATATATATATATATATATATATATAGGAATCACACCCATATCCCACCCCTAAGCAATAGGGACAGGAGTTTGATATATGGAAGTGGCAACAATGGTCCAGAAGAACCACAGTTTGGCCTCCATGGATATATATCATCTATTATTTTCATTAATGTAATAATAAATTATTACATAATGAGCAATTATTTATTGTGATATCGTCACAATGCCGGGCTGCAATTTTTAATCATATTTAAAATATATTCCCTTCAACTTAAATTAGTAGTGTCTTGCCCCCCTACATCATACTTTTTCTTACAATAGAGTTGTGCCAGTCATCTATCTAACACCTTTTGGGGGAACTTTTTTGAACTGAAATCACATGACTTCCAGTGTAAACAGAAGTTCATATATAGTTAGTTAATCATGGCCTCCTGCCCCTAAAGTTTTCATATCTGGTTTCATCTTTCATCAATCTAACTCTGTTCTTGAGATTAAGGAAACACAGACGAAAGGACGGACAACAGTGGGAATTTATAGATCTACAATTTTTTCAAATTGCAACCCAATTATTAGTGCTTTGTGACAATTTCACATTAATTGCAAAAAATTTATGATGCAAGTTATTTTGATACTTCAATTAAACTAGCTAAAATCTAATTATTGATAATATAATATCATTAAAACACCATAAAATCTAAATTTGAAGAAAATAAACTTACAATTAGCTGTTAAATAATTCGAATTTCATTCAAAATAAAAAAAAAATCTCTAACTTTGCAATAGTTTTTCTAACAAATGTTTCATCCTCTTAAGTGGCCACCTGCAGGCTATAGAATATTAATTGTTTGATAAAGAATTTTAAAATTTCTTAATGTAGAAGGTATAGTTGCTGTATGTTCAAATTCTGTGTGTATCATCCTTTTAAAATTATTTAAAATATAAAACCAAAGAAAGTAAACACACAGATAAAGTAAATATTAGTTTCTGATAAATATTATATCATTAGTTGGAGTTCCTAAAGCAACATATGATTAAATATTTATCTTTGTTCTTGTTCTATCCTAAGCTTATATTCTATAGCTTTTTGTATTTTAAATAATTTATTTTCTAGAACCCAAAGATGGCTGAAAACATTGGTACAGTGTAAAAAAAATGACAGCTAGATTAAGATGATTTTTTTGTTTAATTTAAATTGTTATTTGTCCAATCTATTTGGTTTCTTGTTCAAATATCATTTTTACTAAAAAAAAAAATTATTCCATTTTATAAAAAACAATTGTTACATTGCTTTTTATAAAATGGGATAATTTTTTTGTTCATTTGTAATATTTCATACATTGAATGTTAGCTAAAAGCATTATTATTTACTACATATTATTAATTATGTCTAATATGTTATAGACATTTAGCAAATGGTAAGTAACTCAATACAAGGTACAACAAACTCAACATTAACCAGGATGTCTTAAGATTACCGTACACTCAAATAGACCCACTGCAAGGGGTCTATTTGATAATGCAGAATTCTGACTTAATCAAGATATGCAATGATGGTGGATGATATTGTGAGTTAGCCGGGGGTACAGATTCGGAGAATTTGTACTACTTAATTGGCACAGATTAAGTGAAATCTGTTCTCTGGGTTTCGGATCAAGAGATCCAATCTCTAGTCAAAGGATGGCCTTAAGGACATTTAAAACAGATCCAAATCTTGAGATTCAGATCCACGTCAGGATGATGACACCAGTTAATCAGTTTTATCATACACAGATTAATACGCATATTGGAAAGTTATGGAGATGATAAAATATTTTGATTCAGACATTTAGACCTTAATTTAATATAAAAACGAGTATTTAATAAACAAAGAAAAACTATACAAAATGGAGCTTCAACTATATCTAATTATACTATCGCAGAGAGAGAGATCACAATTTCAATCAAAATCATACTACCTCAAAATATGATTATCTTCTTCTGTATTTCAGATTAATATGAATGTTCTTATCTTAGTTCTTTAAAAACACATCAATAAACATATTCTTCTCTATATTTAACATATAATAACTCATTTAGTAGAAACTTCGAGATTCAGTTATGGGCGTTGGACGTATGGAGATGATGTGGAATACGTCTGTCCTCCTTTGTACTCCCCGAATGATACTCATGAATCCCCTTTTTTGATGTTTTTCTCCAATCAGAGAACTGTATTATTCCCATGTGTTTAGGATGAGTGGGGTTTACAGAGGGGTAACTGGACTGTATGTGACTCAAAATGTGTAAAGATAAAGGAAAAAAAAAAGGATGTCAAACTTCCATTGAGAAGGAAGTGACTTTTACCAGTTTCCTTTGTTTTTAACTTAAAAATTCTTTCATTTAAAATCAGAAATATTAATTTCAAAAATTTGTTTTTGACATCAAATTTCAATTAATTAGGGTGGGTGTGTCCAAAATCTCACAATATTCTTAGTAATTCTGACTCTGCCCACTGCAAGAACACTACTTTTAATAGACTTACTGTGCTTAGTTACATCACTCCATCTCCCTTCATTTTTGCTTTGGAGAATTTTACACTTATGACTGTAATGGCTGTTCATGATGAATTAAACAACTTCATTTTTAAAGATAAAAAGATTATAATAAATTAAAATCAAAATAGTATTTATTTTTATTTAATTTTAACCAACTCTCCAACCTCCTCCACACGACTCACTGTCTCTCAGATCTCCTCCATCCCAAATTCGAGCACCTGCACGCACAACTGCTTACATGACCTAACAAAAACAAAAGCTAATGGCCATAGTGGTTTCTGTGTCTTCTGAAAAAGACACAGTAATNTGAATTAAACAACTTCATTTTTAAAGATAAAAAGATTATAATAAATTAAAATCAAAATAGTATTTATTTTTATTTAATTTTAACTTCAATTTTCCTAATTGTCTGGCAAAGAATAATCATTCAATAAAGCTCAGAATATTCTTAGCTCCTCCCAATAAGCTGCTCATTATTTCAGACTTAGTGCTTTGTGTTAATGATCTATTTTTTAAAACCTATTGGGGGCATGGGCTTATTCAGACTACTTAAATATGTGGGTTTATTTTTTTTTCGAGATTAGTTTTTATATATATAGATGTGAGCAGAGGTCATTAAATGAAAATAAAAAAAATAATTCTAAGAAAGTAACACAGATGACAAGAAATGTGATGCAATAATTTACAATTTTGAACAGATTGTTTACAGCAGTGTTTTTCAACAGGGGCGATATCACCCCCATGTGGGCGTTTTTCCATGTTGAGGGGGAAATTTGTAACAATTTATATTTTGGGGGGGCGAAAAACAATTTTCTGGGCGATATAGTAAAACATTATATTAAAATTAATTAGCTATTTTATTCGTTATATTGTACAATAATTAAACAAATAACATTATACTAGTCACTAGTCTATTCAATGCAGTATTCTGGCCCTCGGCATCGGAATTTTGAAGTGAAGGGGGCAATACCACATAACGGTTTTATTGAAGGGGCAACGATTAGTTAGAGGTTGAGAAACACTGGTTTACAGTAATTCAAATCTTAGAAAGTGCGTTTCCAATAAATCCACATATAGCTTATTACTCAAGTACTTGGGTTTATTTTTTAAATGCAACTGGAATTTGGTTTATTCAAGCCTGAGGTAATTTAAGCCTGTAGGTCTAATCAAGTACGTATGGTATTTTATAGCTGGTTTGAAACAGCTACATGTTGCATTTTCTTTTTTGTAATAACACATCTATTCATATCTTAGTTACTAGAAAAAGAAACAAGTATTTCTGTAACAAATAATATATTACATTTATAGTACAATAACAACATTGGACAAATACTATAGAGTATTTGCCCAATGTTGCCCAAAGATGACAGATGGGACAAGAGCCTTATATATATATTGGTTCCATCAAGCACTCTTTAAGTAACAGAATACATGAGCACCAAGTGGATCTTTGACACAGGCGACACACCACTGCCCTGGCCACCTATGCATCTGATCCTGACATTGAGGCAGAATTCGACAAGGCCAATGTCGTCGTCACTATGTCCCCCCTAGAACATCTAAAATGGCTAGAAGCCATATCCATCTACAAGCCTAGCCATGTGATCCACCTGTATCAACCGAAAGGATGAACTTAGTCTATCTGTATCATGGCAGGCCCTTATAGACGGTGACCTTTAAATATCACCATCCACACAAGAGTGCGCATGCCCATCACAATGGGTTTCGTTAAGCAAGCATTTGATTTTGTTTTAAATCTTCATGTTCTATTTTTGAAGCATTCCATCGGATTTTTTACCCGAGGAAGAACTATTTTAAAAAGTTCGAAAACGTTTGTGAAGAAAGGTTTTTTCACATGATTTACACCAGTAACAGGTTCCAGATTTAGTGTTGATTTCACCCCCAGTGTTAAGGTGATGTTGAGTTTCTTATTTACTTTAGAGTATTTGCTGCAAGACTACTACTATTAAAACAATAAATTCTAAATGGCAATTATTAATAAAATCATTTTTAAAATGATAACTGTTTCCACAACAGTAAAAACTAGTTATTATTGTGTGTTCAATATTATTCATTAAATAAAACATTTTCCATAATTAGAATTGTAAATTAATTGAAAAAATTCTAATACCATAACTGTATTGATATTGTTTTGTTTACTCTATAAATTTTTATACTTTTTAATTATATTCAGATGATGAAAATGTAATATGTATCCTTTATCTCTTAAATGTTTCATTTAGGTGAATTTTTATTTCATACATAAATTATTTTTGTTTCTTGTATGATCTGGAAAATGACCATAAAGTCCTTATGCATGAGATCATTTTCTGAATTTTCTCAATTAGAGAATATCTTTATGACAATTCAGCAGATAACGTGACACAAATCCAATATGAAATTATTAAGTCTAGGCTTTAAGGACATCACACAATCACTTTGGGGCATTGTGGATGTAAAAATTTCTCAAAATCCTCACAGTTGAAGACCCAAAACATGGTAAAGTTGCGGTTCTAAATGAGGTTTGGATCCCAAATTTTAGATCCTCTAGATGACCAAAACAGTCAACGGAGTCATATCTCTACTCGTGACTCCTGGTGAGATATTTGCCCTCTTTGTAGATTGGTTGTTAAACACACAAGCTTAACAGAGCTTGCAGTTATGACTCTGTGCCCTGGAGTTGATGCAATGACACTTTATGAGCTTTTGGCCATCTCTAGTAAAGCAGACAACAGTTGATTTTTCACACTGCTTTGAGAAACAGTTCTGGATTTTTTTCACTTTTAAATTTTACCCCATTTTTGAGTGTCTTTAAAATTTCAGATAGGCTGATTTCAGGGGGGCTATATCTCGCAAAGTTGACTATTAGTTCCTTTGACTTATTTTACATGTATGAGCATGATCTACAGCGCTGATTAAGATCCCAACTGCCTCATTAACAGCTGCATTTGTACCCAAACAAACTATTGGGTACCATTTTCACAACTTCCAATTGTCAACACAAAAATCAGCCATAGAAAATACTTAAAATTTGTGTAGAGAGAAATCCATACAAAGATAACTGCTAACTAGCACAATAACCACGAACGTACAGATAATGGCTAACTAGACGCATAGGAATTTTATGGATGTTCGATACAACATAAACAGAAAGTTTACAGGATTTAACAGTGTCCAATTAAACAGAAAAGACACATTTATTTCAGCAGGGAATTTTGCTAGAATCAAAAATGTGGATTACTTTAGATTCAAAATGCTTTTATCATCATTTTAATTAATTTAGTTGACATTAATTTAAATTATCACCTCTGAAACAATTTCAGAGGTTTTTTGAATTATTTCAGAGGTAAATTTACCTCTGAAATCATTTCATAAATTGTAAGTTTATTACATCAGATAATATTAATTAAACAAAATAATTTTTTTATCAAAATTTGAAAGTTTTAAGTACATATCTTTTATGAATAATTTAATAATAGAATAAGAATTAAATTTACTTACTTTAATTTTGATCAATTAAAAAAATACATTATGTTGTCATTAACTTTTTATATTATGGGGATTCATACACATAAATAGAAAAAGAAACATATATTTTTCTGTTTCGTTGTTATTATTGGTATATTTAGTTTTCAAAATAGAATATAATTCAATTTATCCTTCTAAATCTATTTACGTTCTTTATTTATTTAATTTTTTTTTTAATTCATAAAATAAGAAAACATACTACCAGGTGGCTATGAACTCACGTGAAAACAAAACTGCGATATTTTGAGACTTCCTCTGTTATTTGGTTTTTCCTCTATGGAAATTTTAAAATAAATATACTGTATCTTTTTTCTAATTGTTAGTGTTTTATATATAAAAATTGGTGATTATTTGTGCGATTTTAATCAAAACTTATTTTTATATTTATACAATATTAAATTACTTTATTTATTTATTTTTAAACTCTTTCCGCCCAGTGGCCTCGTTTTAGCAGGCCCATTATGGGTTCGGCCAGGCCCACAATGGGGCGGGTGGGTGATTAGAGACGGGGCTCGACATATCCGGGCGGACCACCCCCCGAAAAATTCCTGAGGATTTATCGACCCATCCGGATTCGAACCCGGAGTCCCCCAGGGCGGTGGGGATTTATCGACCCGTCTAGATTCAAACCCGGAGTCCCCCGGGCGGTAGGCTGCCACCTTAACCTCTCGGCCATCTGGCCGTCTATAAAAGTCGATTATGAATTTAAACAATGAGCGTTAATACATGTTTCATATCGAAATCGATTAGCATATTTTCGCGTTGGTATAGTTAAAAAAGTTAAATTTCAACTTCTAGTTGTTTATATTATACGTATAACTTGTTATTTGGTTATAAATTCAAAACTAGAATAATATTAAATGTTAAAATAACATTTCTTATATTTATTTTCAATCTACTTTTCCAGTGGCGCAGCTACATATTCAGCGCCCTGGAGCAAGTAGAATGGGTGTGCCCCTTGTTCCTCGGAAGAGGTCTTGAGAAATTTATTTCGAACATTTAACTTATAAACGTATATCTAATTACTGTATTTCGATTTAAAACCTTACTTAATAACAATTTATTTTAAATTTAAGGAATTTTAACAATAAGAAATTCAATTTAATAAATACAAAAATAATCATAAAACAAAATGTAATTCTTTAAGTACGGAGTACCTAATAATATTTACTTCATATTATACAAAGTGTAGTCTATTAACAAAATGTATGCAACTTTAGTTTCATAACAAATACATAATAGCAAGGTTGAGGCCAAAGTTTTAAACGCGAAAAGGTGTACGTCGGACGTTCAGCGCCGCTTTCCTATAAGCCTAGAAGTTTTACAATGGTGTTTGGATAGTCAGTGGAATCATGCTCGACATTCCAAACACCATTGCCAACCTTCTAGGCTTACAGGAAAGCGGCGCTGAACGTCCGACGTACACGTTTTCACGTTTAAACTTCGGCCTCAACCTCTCTAATAATACATAAAACAAACTTCAAAATTATTTTCTCGCTCATTTGCAAATCACTTTCTCCAGATCAAGTTGACATGCTATTGTTTTTTCAATTGATATAGTAGCCAGAGCAAAGACGGTGTTGTAACATGCTGTTTCCTAAATAAGTTTCGATTAATTTTAATTTTAAAATACTTCGTTTTGTGGTAATGTTTAAAAAAAGAGGCATGCTGCAATAATGTTGAAGAAGCTACTTGAGACTGCTGTGTGAATTAAAATTAGTTCAGCAACTTCGCGTATAGAAGTAATTTCTTTTATATCTGAGTATAAAAACACGTTTTAAATCGAAGCAGTCGAGGTCTAAAACTTGGCGAAATGTCAAAAGGATGTGCTGATTGTAATAATTCTGATTCTTCCAGAATATTTTTATCAGATGTCGCGACAGGATAAGCACTTAAAACGTCGAATGGATTGAAATCTAACAGTTAATTGATTAATTATTAAATCCAAAAAATTTTTATAAATGTTTTTACAAGTTTTTATTTTGCTCTTTCTAACTTGGCTCCCTGCGCCTGGAGCAGTTGCTCCAACTGCCCATTGTAGCTACACCTCTGTACTTTGCATAGTACCACGTTTCATAGTTGCGTCATTCAACATAATGTGGTTATGTAAGCTACATTTCTTGGTAGGAGTGATGTACCGGTACTTCAAAGTTAGATGCTGTAATGTTTTTTTTCTTTTCTTTTTCTTCAAAGTTCGCCGTAATTATTCTTTTTAGTCAGTTTGTTATATTATTCGATTTAAACTTGATTTTAGAATATGGCAATTGTCAGATTACGAAGAAATTGCGATTCGTTTTTCCTAGAAATTGGAATCTTACATGGTGAATTAGGAAATAATCCCAGTACGAATGTCGATCGGAATGATTACAGTATATGCATTATGTTTGTACCAATTATTAAGTATCTTTAATCATTGTAAAATCAAGTGGTGAAAACAGAATCGTTAATGTATACGATAGTCTATTTACACGTAGAAAACAAAATTCCGGACTGTTTTTCCACAGTAGTGGGTATTTGGTGGAATAGATCGGGTTAAAGTCCAGATGCGTGTACCGTCATGGCGGCTCATCTCTGATTCCAGCAAACAAAAGAAAGGAAACAGTGGGGACGCACGTTCTAACCTAATCTAACCTATTCTAATAAATTACCATAATTATTACCAACCAAATTATTAGAATAGGTTAGGTTAGGTTAGAACGTGGGTCCCCACTGTTTGCTGGAATCAGAGAAGAGCCGCCATGACGGTATACGTATCTGGACTTTAACCCGAAATACTGTAAAAGAAAGAAATATAATATTTTCTGACTTGGAAAGCGCACAAAACTGACGAATTAGAAGAAGACGGATACGAACGTTTGCAAGTATAAATTTTGCGAACCCTGAAATACTCAAAAATAATTGTAGTAAGTTTATTAATTGTTCAGTATTTCAATTTTAAAACATGTATGAATTACGAAATAAAACATCGATTTTACTAAAAATAGTAGCAAAAATGACTACTGTCCTCGGTACTCTTTGGTTAATTAACCAAAGAGTACCGAGATTTATAAATCTACGCGACAAAACGCATCTGTCAATTACTGTACTGTATAATGACCGAAACACAGTTTTCCTGGCATGGAGATCTTTACATGAAACCTCTGTGTATCTATAATTTGAATGTAATTTTCTATTACTTATAAATTAAATAGGATACAAAAATACATTATATGTTCTCATATATTCTCGGTTTTTAAATTTGTTCGCTACTTACACGTTTGATGTTCCAAGTTCTGTTGAAATTTTTTAAAACATTCGATCCTGTAGAACAGCCTAATGATGGTCATTTAAAATGGCTGAAAATTAAGCTGATTTATTAAAATAATGTTGTTTTGCTGATTTAAGTAAGTTTGTATTATTTTGTATTTTTGAGGACAATCAATTTAAATAAATATGTAATTTGTTAACACGATAATCAATTTAAGCAGATGGCGCTAGTTGTACAATATGGCGGACTCACGTGTTGGTGTGTCGAAAGTTCAAATTAGTGAAGCTGTTTTAGCTTTAAAAAAGGTTGAAAAATTATGGAAAGAGAATGAAAACAGAAAAACTAAATTGCTGGAAGATGATGAACATTCGAAAAAAGTATTTTTACAGATTGGATTGAAGAAGATCCCTGAAATTAAAAGTAAGGCAGTTAAGATTTACTTACCACATTGGAATTTAGAAAATGGAGTCGGTGAAGTTTGTCTGATTACCGGAGATTTGGATAAAAAGAATCCACGTGCTGATCCGGAAGAAACTGTTCGTCATTATAAAGAACTGTTAGAAAAACATGAGATCACGTGTATTTCTGCGGTCATATCTCTACGTGAATTGAATACTGATTATAAAGAATATGAAGCGAGACGAAAACTATGTAATGCTTATGATACATTTCTAACAGACAGGAAAATACTTGCTTCAGTCAATGCGGCATTGGGTAAATTTGTCTATGCTAATAATAAAATACCTCGTCGAATTAACATAAATTCTAAAAATTTAAAAAAGGAAATTACTAATGCATTAGCTTATTGTATCTGCTTTGTCCAAGGGAAAGGTTCTGATTGTACTGTTTGTGTTGGTCATATTTCTCAGCCAAAAACTGAATTGGTCAAAAACATTATTACTGCTGTTGAGAAATTTTCGGATAGTGTTCAGGGTGGTTGGCGGAATATCCAAACATTGCGTATTAAATGTGCTAAGTCTCTTGCGATACCATTTTATGTATCTCTTGAATCGCCAAACGAAGTAGATTTATCAACATCGGTGGTTCCTAACGAACCAATTGAAGATGAATTAACTACTTTAACTAAAGGTCGTGTTAAAGTATATCCCGACGGAGAGGTTGAAGTAGTAGAATCTAAGAAAACAAAAAAGAAACGGTTAGGCAAAAAAAAGACAAATTTGAAACCAAAATCAAAAAAGATTGCTAAGAAGGAAACTGAATTACCAAATAATTCCAAGGATGATTTAATGAATGATGAGACACAAGTTGAAAATGAAGAATCAAGTACGATAAAGAAAAAAGTGAAGAAACGTAAGGCTAATGAAGAACACGAATCAGCTGATACATCAACAAAGAAAAACAGAAAGAAGATACTTAAAAGTGGGGAAAATCAGACTGAACATTGCAAAACATTAAAACAAATGGATGACAATGATGAAAAAAATCAGAAATTAAAAAATACATCAGCAAAGAAAGTAAAGAAACAAAAACTGTTAAAAACAAAGAAAAAGAATGTAAAAAATCAATTAAAATGAAGAAAACAACTTGATATGCATACAATACTATTTAATTTTTATGTAAAATAGTTTTAAAAGTTATGATTAATATACTTTTAAAACACAATTTATTAATGCATATTTTTATGTATTAATTTTTAATAAATTGTTACATAATTCAATAATTAATTCTTTTTTGTTTTATTAGCTGCAAGTATAGTTTTAATACATTATGATCAGTGAATATAGTTTTTTTTATGTTTTTGAAATTTTTTGACTTGTGCATATTGTAAAACAAAAGTTTTCTGGCACTCTTTGTCTATAAAGTTAAAAACATTAATGTATTTTAAATTATGAATAGCTATTACATTAATTACTAGTATTTTAAGTGCCTAGCCTAGCTATTGATCATGAATGTAATATATTTTATTAAATCTTCTCATTTTAAAAATATACTTTCATAATTGTCACCCCAGCTGTGGTGCACAGTTTGAGAATCACAGGCCTAGAAACTTAAAGTAACAAAAAAAAATGTATCAAGTAAATTATTTAAACACTTGTTTCTGAATATACAAGCAAAGTTTTATTATGCTGTATCAAGCACAAAGAAGTAGAGAACTACTGAATGCTAATCATCATGGTTAATAAACCATGGTGATTGGCATTCAGTAGTTCTCTACTTCTCTGTATTTCTAATGTCAGAAGATGGAGAAGCACATGGGTTAATGTAATCATTTTCAATCCACAAAAACAAACGTGTGTATTCCATATAAAACAAAATCCTAGTTTATACTAATACACATTTTACATATAAATCACACGTAATACTGTACTTTGTTATGAGGCATTTTGATTCTTACCTCAGATTATGAATTCTAAGCTTCAAAATATACATTTTGAATGTTGTATTGTTTATTTTGTATATTAGAATAAATTTAATTTTCTGTAAAATCCTGATTAGAAACAAGGGCCAGCCTTAATATTAATGAATAGACATAGACGTGTCTAGATTTAATTACATACACGATCACAGTTTAAAAGTTTCGAACGATGTTTTACTTCCTGCTATTTGTTCAGTTCAAAACTGACTTTATTAAAAGAAACGTGTATGCATTCATGCAACTGAGAAGAGATTTACGGGGGGGAATTAGTTGAAAGTTTCACCACCAGAGTAAAATGGGCGCTGTCTAGTTGAAAATAAATTCAATTTTTATAAATCACTATTAAAATTACTTTGGTTGCCGTTTCATTATTCATTTCTATCTTTGATATCAACCTTACTTCTTGCGATTTATTTTGAAAAAGATTAACGTAATTTCATGTCTTATCTTTCTCTTGGTTGAATTACTTGTCCATACATGTAATTTATTTAAACAGATAATTTATATCAAAGAAAGATTGAAATAATAATAATAACCGACCAACTTACAAGTTAAACTGAAATTTTAGATTTGAATATTTATGGACGATAAAACAATGACTTTTTTTTTACCATATTAAAAAACGAAGTTTACGTGAGTTTTACTTCATTCACAAATTGAAAACCTCTTACCTCATCTGGCGAAATCCAAAATATTTATGTAAACTGTCATTTGATATCTAATATTGGGTTTGATTTTCGAAATGATTGCCATTCAGAATCATAACCAGGCCTATCTATTAATATTTTACAGTTTTATTGTCAGTGATGTATTACGTCGTTCCATTGACGTAGTATATGACTCTTCACGTCCGTTTATTGTCGATTCCTTTCTTTTCATACGACTAATTTCCAGTACTTTCTATTGTCGACAGCTGGTAAGGAGCCTGAAATAGAACGGATTCCTTTAGCCTTTCTTTGAACAAACGAAATACGGAAAATGTTCATTATTAATAATAAGCAACCTGAAAGATTTTATTTAATGCTTCTAACCATTCTATATTCTGTTTGACATTTGTGTATTACCTTTCTATTTAATGTATTGATAACTTTAATAAGGGCTTTTTTTTAACTCTGCCCTGTGGGCATTAGGTGTGCCTCTTTAAGCAAGCTCATTATGGGTTCAGCCAGGCCCATAATGGGGCGGGCGGGTAGTAAGGGACGGGGCCCGAGATATCCGGACGGACCACCCCCCGAAAAATTCCTGGGGATTATTCAACCCGTCCGGATTCGAACCCAGGTCCCCAGAGCGGTAGGCTGCCTCTTTCCATCCGGCCTGGCACAATTCTAGGACCGAATGACGCGGTTGGGACTTTAACAGAGCTGTAGAGCATATCGAGAGGAACAAAAAAGTCAAAGGAACCATGCCCGTACGGGCGACCCTTCGCGAGATATAGGCCCCCAAAAATGCCGCTAATTAGGCAACGCTTTCTATGCCGCCGCCGCTCTATACTGAGCGCGCTTCTATTTCCCTATCTCTAACACATTGTAACTGACGACGGAAAAAGCCAACAAAACAGATTATACACTCACCTTCGGCAGAGTCTCCTTTTCTCGCTACCCGACGACGACTGGCCCGTTTCTGATCTTGTTTAGGAGAAGCCGGGGTAAGACCGCCGGTCACCGCTGCCGCTTCCTCCTCCTCGGCTATGTCCAGGAGGTCGACGACGACGAAGATGGGATCGCCCGATGTTATTCGAACAATCGCATATAATCCAGGGTTTGCGTACAAGTATCCTTCGGTAATTAATTGGTAATAATCATGATAATTTATTAGAATAGGTTAGGTTAGGTTAGGTTAGGACGTGCGTACCCACTGAACTGGCGTCCTCTTAACTCATAAGTACCCAAATATCGAATATTTTATTAGAATAGGTTAGGTTAGAACTGGCGTCCTCTTAACCCATAAGTACCCAAATATCGATTATCACAACTGTTGAATATTTACTGACTTGTACTCCTAACTAATGCGGTAACAAACACCGGCCGAAAATGCCCGAAGGCGGCCTGAAGGCTTATGAAACCTCGGTGGGCCGAGAGTAGGTCAAGTGACCCACGAGCGCCCGGCCATTGGCCGCGCGACGGGCCCGCTGCACCTGAACGGCGGGGGGTGGCCGCGTGGCGCGGCGCGCTGAATCTGTGTGGCCGAGGGGGGTCGCCCGGAGGGCCCGTCATGCGCAGTGAGCTCCTCGGCCTAGCACGGCTCAAGTATGAGTTCCGAAGTGTTTCTGGCAGAGCGACCTGGCGGGCCGGTGAGGAGAGAAATGGATCGGCGCCTGCCGGGACCGGGGTTTGATCCCGGCTGAGGTAAGAGGTGTAATAAAATAATAGATATTTGTATTTACAGGCAACAGATGGCGACTCCGGAAGGCTGCAGGCGGCAGACCTGGGGCCGCCGGCCGCGTGCCAGGGGGAAACGCGCGTAGGGGGCTAAGGAAGGGGGAACTGACGATTTTTTTCAACACTGAGATGGGGAAAACCGAAAAAAAAATTTCGGCCACGTGACACCGTCCCTTTTTGGCGCGGAGTCACGTGACCGGATGTGACGTAGGCGCATCTTTGGAGGGCTATAACTCGCTTAGTGTCGCCCGTAGGGCATGGTCCTTTTGACTTTTATGCTCGCACAGGGGGCTCTACATTTTGGGAGGGGTCCCAACCGCGTCATTCGGTCCTAGAATTTAGCCAAAAATTATGTACACAAATACTGTCTAACAAATAAAATATTTAATAAACGTCTTCAGATCGAAAAAAAATTCTCAGGTGGCGTAATTTATTTTACCGTGCGTTAATTAACGCATCGCCATGGTTACCAAATACAAACAAATAGCGCCACAAAAAATTCAAGCACGTGGTCGAAAATTCGTTCGACGTTACAAATGTAAGAAAGTTCGTTTTATTTAATAGAATGGAAACTTCGTTGAGACAGAATATCCGAAACATCTTAAAAGAAAATCTAGAAAATAAAAATTATCGAAGGGATTCGGTCAAAGAATGGATCGAATTGATCGCAGATTCCATTAAGCTCAAGGCTAAAGAATTGGGTTTTTCTTCCCACAAGATTGTAGTCGATGTTTGGATCGGAGAAAGACTGGGACAAGGCGTTAAAGCTGGAATCAGATGTGTCTGGGACCCTCACACTGATAAAATCATCTCTGAAGTTTATTCAAATGAAACCTTACATTGCCTTGTAATAATTGTTTTCACCAAATTCGATTATTAGTTACATTTTGTTCATCAATCTATGCATTTAATTATTGCATGAATATTATTTGCAATCTATGCAAATAATATTCATGCTTTAAATTTATTATCAGAAATGGAAAAAAAAATGTATGATATTCATACTTTGAGTTATTTACTATTATTATTGTTATATCTTTTAACAATTCTAAATATTGATCTTATGAAACAAAAAATATTGTAAAAGTTCATTTTTATTAAAAGTTGAGGTATCAAAGTAGTTACTTATTAATTAAAAATTATTAGTAACTTTCATTCATTGTGTAATTTTTCAAATTTTTGTAAAACAATATGCATGGCCCCAATTTTCACAATTTTCAGGAACTTAATCATTAATAGTTTGACTATCGTTAATTAATTAATTAATCTTTGTGGTTTGCACCACAAAGATTACAAACACACCATCCGAACTTATCTCGAAACAGTCTGTTCTTCAAAGAAAATGCAAATTTGACAAGAGTTTTGTGACGAGATGATGTTCTGTGGAGATAACCTGCCTTAACAATTGATGATGTGGAACATGCAAGATGTAATAAGAAGAGGATTAATCAAACTGTATGGTAAGATTCTGTTTGATTCTGATTTTTGACTTAGAAATCATAATCTGATTTCTCTCATTCCAATTTATTAGCTAATGATATTTGCCATGGAGGTCGGATTGCACGGGTTTAATTAAAATCAGTGAATACACTTTGGATAGCCTTGTTAGTTTTCTACTCATCCAGTTACTGCTTGTATTATATTTTGCACATTGTTTCATTTAAAATACACAAAAAAAAAAAAAATTGCACATTCATAAACATATAAATACTGCTATAAATATATTTGAACCCAGATTATCTGAGTTCTGATTAACTAGTAAATTAATACACTACTTTTCTTATATTCAGGGCCGGATCATCGCATAGACAAATGAGACAAATGTCTAGGGCCCGGTTTTTAGAAGAGCCCGGTTAAATTGTCTATTTTGAAAGATATTGATGAAATTTTTAAAATTCTTCATACAAACAGCTGACGGCGACGATGAGGACGTATCAATTAATACTGCATTGTTAAAAAATGGTACAGTGGCTATATTGATACAGAAGAATTGGACGAGGAATTGTTGCAATTTAAATTAATTTGCAAAAGCCAAAAATTAACATTGCCATATGATATGCTGCAATTTATAAAGAGCACAAAACTAGTATCAACATTTCCAAATATAGAAATATTATTGCAAATATATTTAACTTTGTCTATATCAAATGCATCTGGTGAAAGGTCATTCTCAGTATTAAAACGTGTAAAAAATTACGAAACTCACTGAGTGAATCAGAATTAAATTCTTTAGCGTTTTATACATTGAACAAAATGCTTTGGATAATATTAATTACGATAAAATAATTGATAATTTTGCTGAATTAAAGACTAGAAAACAGAATTTTTAAATAAAGTTTATTCATATTTATATACTTACTTTTTTAGAACTATCTTGGCTTTTATTTAAATTATCTTTTTCATTATTCAATTTACCTTTCATGGGTAAAATATTATATTATTTAAATATTAACCAAAAAGATTAAATTAAACAATTAATATTTTAAGATAATATTGCATAACAACTTTTGTTAGATATTTAATAAAATAAATTTCAATTTTTTTTAATTTATAAACAAACTGTTCAAATTTTTCTAGAAAAACTAAAATTTATTGTTGTATATTAAATATTTTTTATTAATAAAAATTTAAGATTTGTGTTAGTTTTTCACATTATTTAGTTTTGTTTTATTTGTTGTTTTATATTTTTTGTGCGCTCTATTTCTTATGGGAGAGGAAGGAGGCCCGGTAAGAAGAAAATGTCTAGGGCCCCAAAGTGGGTTAATCCGGCCCTGCTTATATTTTATAAAAGTTTTGCTGTGACTGTACCAAGCTTGTAAATACTATAGTAGTTTTAACCTCGAGTGTACTGATCAACTGGAAGAGGAGCTGGTGACTGTTGGAATTTTGGAATATTGATGAGTTCATTCACTCTTTCCCAAATGCACATCTCCCATCTATGTCTAGCTATTGTCAGTCCATCACCAGAGTTGGTTGTGTCTGTCACTGTATTGCATCTTTAATAAACCTTTATGAATCCAAAATGGTCACAACTATCCATTTTATCCAAGTTTTCATTTATCTGAGGTAGCATCAGTTCACATTAACTCAGATTATTAGGGTTCTACTGTGTACAGTACATATATATAAATCAATTATTATATTTTAATTAATACATATAAGTTTAAATACAATTCAATACTGTTTATTAACAAAATTGAATTTACATATATTTGATCGGATTTACAATACATTGTTTTTTTAATTTTGAAAACAACTAAACTTAATTATACAGAAGCAATGTATACAATTGTATGATTTTACAATTATTAAAAACTCTTTAAAATTTTATTTTAAATAAAACTTTGTTTTTATATTTATAACAAGTTAATGAATGGGTAGTAGCAAACAATGCTTCATAGAGTGAAGCATATATAAAAAGGAAAGACATCACTTTTGCACTTGAAAATAAATAATTAACAACAATGATATGCTACAAACATAATATTTGTAAAGTTAAAACAATCTTAAAATAAACAATATTTGTTTCTTTAAAATGCCTCAATGTCCTTTTCTTACTAAAATATAAATTTTCGTTTACAAGTACGTATCTTCTAATATCAGGACTTATTATACTGGCTTTACAGATAATGCTACAGAGTTTCACAGAAAACAACTTTTTATTTTATTTAATATACCCAATCAGGTATATTATTTTATTTAATTTCAGGTATTTATTTTATTTAATATACCTGATCAGGTATATTAAATAAAATAAAAAATTGTTTTCTGTGAAACTCGGTAGCATTATCTGTGAAGCCAGTATAATAAGTCCTGATATTAGAAGATATGTATTTGTAGACGAAAATTTATATTTTAATATCTGTTTCTTTCATTAAAAGGATGAGGTTATACAAAGTATATATTTATATAAAATTTTTTCATAAAATACTACACAAAAGAGGGCGCAGGAACATTTAAAAGAGGAGAATCTGTCGTTAAATTTTGTTGTGAATTAACAGGTTGATGGGATTTTACTGCTTCTTGCAATGAATTAAAAAGTGACTGCATATTCTCATTCTAAAAAAAATTTGGATATTTAAAATTTTTATATGAATAATGTAACATATTTAATACTCTTACCTTAATAACAGGCTGCAATGCTTTTATCATTCCATCTGATCGACTAGGAGGTAGTTTCAGATGAACATACCATAACAACTTTAAAAGGTGATAAACAACATTTTCATGCATAATTCCAGTAAGAAAAAATTCATCAAATACTACTGTACAAAAGTCTTCAGCTGCAAATTCATCTGCCATTGGAATTAACAATGCTACTAAAGAATGAAGAAATGGATCTTCAAAGGCACGATTCTTCTCACAATTTGCTAGTGTGCCTAGAATCCTCATTAAACCAAGACGATCCCTTTGACGAGCTAAATTTAAAAATATAAAAATCAGAATTAAAGTGTGTATATATATACACATATATGTATATAGATAGGCCTATAAGTGGGCTGTAATTTAGAATCCAAACAAAAACATTTGAGAAGTAAAAAAAATTATGACAATTTGGATGATAGTCAAAAAACATTTTTTTTTTTGGAGTTTTTCTTTGGTAAAGATAAACTTGGCACTTGATAGTGGTACATGCAAGATTTTTATTGTTGTTTTCTACATTTTACTTTGAAGCACCAAACTTATCTTTACAAAAGAAAATATAATTCTTTTGGTAATTTTTGCAATTTTTGATTGCTTATATTTCAGCAACCCCTTTTTAGAAAAACCTAAACCTAAAATTTTGCACAGTACCTAAGAAAACAATTATCTTTTGAACAAAATATTCTGAGTTACTTTAGTCATTTGAGAGATAGAGAAATCAACACTCCCTACTAATTCCTGTACTGTATACATATATAGTCATTCAGTGACTTTTTACTTGATGTGGAGTCACTGCTATGGTTCTTGATATAATTGACTCAAATAAGTACAAGATGAGAGTATTGCCTATTTCAATAAGAATTAATTCAATTGATTAATAATGTATAATATCTGACCGAAATATATTTTCAAAAATTGGGTAATTATGTTCCATTAATACAGTGTCTAGGTCAACTCAGTGCAAATTTCAGATATGTGAAAAAGTCTAATGACTTTTTTTTTTTTTTTAATATATTTTTAAAATAAAATTTGAGATGATACAATAGTGAATTCTAGTTGTGCAATTCATCTAACATTATATGTTAGAGACGCTGAGAGACAATAGATTCCAGCACAATCTTGAGTACAATGACACCACCATATGATCTCTCAAAATAAGACTGGCTGAACACAAGTATATCAGTAAAGGAAAATACAACACCGCCCTAGCCAGATATGCCACGGACGACGACAACCAAGTCCATCTAGACCAAGCTTTCATCATATGACAATCTATGCATGACAACAAAATAAGAATACTGGAATCGAAATATTCAAATCCATAAAGAGCGGCCATTGCATTAATTTCAAAGAGGAAGGACAAGTATCTTATGCATGGCAATCATTATATTCAAGGAAGCAGTCAAATTAAAAATTATTTTGGAGAAATTTAAATTCAATTTAATTGATATAAAATATTATTTTATATTTTTGAGAGAATTAGTTGAAAAATTCTCGTTTATACATTTTAAATAATTTTTAAAAACATTCCAATTTATGCATTCCTATTTAAAGAATTCTGAGGAAGAAGATCTCCTAAGTAGATCGAAAACATTAGAGATCGAAAACAATTGATTAATGAACTTGTAATGAATTATCCTGGAATTTCTTTTAAGGTTCAATCGTTGCTATTTAGAATGTCTTTTCAAAATATTTTAATTTGAAAAAGTAACATAAAATTTTCAGATATAGACCTAAGAACTCATATCTGGATTTAAAAAAATTAATATTGGAGTAATTAAAAACTAAATTCATAAAAATCTGAACAGAAAAATCAATAAAACCTGGCACCAGAATGTAAAATAGCAAAGTTTTTTGCATAAATTTCAGTCATAAGTTTGATGCTGCAGATAATTGGAGTTTGAACTTGAATCATTTCATTTTACATGGATGATGCCTTTAAATATTATTGTTTTTATTTAAGAAACTAAAATATTCCAATCCAATCACAGTTTCAAGAATGTTAAATTTTTTTAAATGTTTTAACAAAAAAATTTAACATTCTTGAAACCGTGTTGGTAGTTTTTCCTTTGTTCAAACCGTGAGACAAAAACTGCTTACCTAATAGTTTTTCATGGTTTTCAACTGAATAAAAGTTAATGATAAAAAATGCCAAGTGGTAGAGTGATTGCACTACATTGTGTTTGAACAAAGGATAAAAAATTATTAAATATTTTAAACTTTATTTTTATAATTTACCTGTATGTAATGCATGATACATAGCTAAAACACTTGCTACTCCATTTTCTTGAACATAAGCTTGATATGCATCTGGAGGAGGTCCTGAATGTTCTATAGTTGTTATAGCAGTTTCACGATCATCCGGTGGTAATTTAGCACTAATACTGCGTACCTAATTAGTTTGTTTGTTTTTAATATGAGTTATTTTGTAGAACAGAGTTTAAATATAGATATTAAAAATAAAAAAAATTTAAACATAAGCACAGTAATTCACTTTATTACATCAAAATATTTAATAAGAGAACACAATTAACAATAGCTAAATGAGGTAAGATACACAAATCAAACTAATTACAAAACTCATCATAGATACTGTATTTAGAAATATATTTATTAATGCTTATGCTGCCAATTGATGCTATTTTGAATTATGTGACCCTTGCCATATATGCCAATGACACAATTCATTGGCAAATTTGCATCATTCATACACTGGAACTTTTGGAACTTTTTGGTAAACTGCATATGTGTTATTTTTCAGAAACTATTTATTACTAAGTGAAAGTGTAAGAAACATTGTAGAAATTAAATTTTTTTGCATTATTTCATATATTCCAGGTTCATATTTATTATAATGGTTTTTATCATTTTGTCCTCAGGTAAGTGCCAGTGACTAGCTTTTGTATCATCACATATAATTCCAAAAATATTGCTTAAAGTAAAAACAAAATTAATTTTTATGCTTAACCTATGTATAACAGTGACATACTTTATGAAAAATAAATCAGTATGTTTGGTGCATTGTTTTTCTTTCTTAAAATGCACTAAACACACAGATTCATTTTCTTTCAATGATGGTAACAATAGTGTTAATATAATTTTACATTTTGATTATTAAACACCATCAATTTGATTAAATATACTAATAGGGCAACTTTATATATATACAGTAGAGTGTTGATTATCCGAAAGTCAGTCATCTGAAAGAATTCCAGTCGGCAAATTTAAATTTTCGCCAGTGCTGTGGCGCTGCAATCTTGGCTATGTCTTGGGCTACTCAAATATTTTACGTTTTTGATACTAAATTAACTTCTGAAGTATAATTTTTTATTGTTTTTATATTTTTCAATATATTTATTTTGTTTGTACAAAATAAAAAAATAATTTTTAACGATACAATAGTCTTTGTTAGGCTTAACATTGACGAAAATTCAACGCAAAGCGACACGCAATGGAGAAAACTGTCAAGATGGGATAAATTAATATATTTTTTGTAAGTAATCTGTTATCCGAAACATCGATCTTCCGAACAACCCGAGTCCCCAATTGATTCGGATAATCGACGCTCTACTGTGTATATATATATAATAATCTAATATGTCATCAGAAAAACATTGAATATAGATCTAGACCAATCTTAAACACCTTGGTCACCAGCGAATAAAAAGCTAAATGGCCAAGATAGAAAATTTTTCATGAACAGTCTATTTCAGATATCTTAGGCCTTATCATTCACCACCTAGCTGCCCTATTATAGCCTTAATCAAATCCACAATGGGCATGATTACAAAAAGGCTCTCTTAGTGTTATTTTTTTTCTGCACACAGAATGGGGAAAAAAATAGACTCCTATAAAATTCAAAACAAAAGAAAAAGCAGACTTCTGTACTTATTCTAATAAACAGTACAACTGCAAGACACTGCCCTGTAATAGTAAGCATGCTATTTATTGGAGGAAGACAGGGATTTTTATAAAAAAATTTCATATTCTATTCACTGCTGTCACTCTTATCTTATGCTGAAATAATGTGAGAATGTGTTGAGTGTTGTATTATTATTCAAATAATAAAAAAGTAAAAAAAAATTTACCAGGTTTATTCTATTAGTACAGGGCTTAAACTTTTTTATTCACAACCCCATTTATAATTGTGATTTTTTTCGCGACCCAAAAATTATAAAATAAAGATATACACAAATTTGCAAAAACAATAATGGTGTACTACACAATTCACTCTTGTGTTACAACGGAACAGAGACAACTGAATACACTGAAAAGTGACAACACTACCCTAGTTCACACTACAATCAGTGTTACTGATTCATTGTCTCACTGCACCAGAAGTGACACAAAGCACAACTCACAAAACCTATCACACAAAGCATGCCATTTTCAAACTCTCACAAATTATTTTCAATATTTTGTATTAAAATCTTGTGACCCCAAGATTTCGCTAGGCGACCCCAAATGGGGTCGCAACCCATAGTTTAAGAAGCCCTGTATTAGTTGTTGTACCCAATTCCCAAATAAGAAAAATAATAGACATTCTCTAATAAACAGCACAGTTGCAAACTGAAAAAAGTTATAGATACCTTGCTGTTTATTACAATAAATACAATATTTGTTTAAAAAGTCATATAATTCAAATATGCAGTATTTAAGTAGAAATCTAAAGAAGTTTGAATTTCATCAGACTTTGGCTTTAATAACTGTTTAATTCATTATTTTGTTTAATACTGTCTTCTTTACATGTAAATAGTTATATACATATTGCATAAAAATGGCATATATTGATGATAATAAGATTAAAGTCAAATCATATAAAACTAAATTCTATAATTTCATCTTGAGTAATAGATTAAATAAAAATATTTTATTTGATAACTTTAAAAATTATTTTGGAGAAATTTAAATTCAATTTGATAATTTTTATATCATAACTGATATATTTTAATCATTATATGCATTTATTTGAATTATACAAAAAGTTTGAGTTAAAGTAATACTAAATGTTAAATGAAACTCAAAATGTTGCATCTTACCTGATCATCTACCATTAAGGACATAAGTGCTGGTAAAAATTTGGTGACTAATTGTACATCCTAAAATATATTATAAAAAACTATTAATTTTAAAACAGTATTCATTTAAAATTTAAAAAATAACTTGTTAAACTGATAATATATAAGTTATGTAAATTTATGTTATTTATGATATATATCTTTAATAATTGCACCAAGTTATTTACAATGACACAACAAATAAATAAAATTGGTCAGCTGAATAGTGACAAGATTGTAGAAAAACTTCTTAAATATTTTAAGATTTGTCCTTGACTAAATACAAATTTAATCAAAATATTTGAAAATGATATTTATCATCTTTGGTTTTAGTAAAACTACTAATAAAAAGTTCTGTATTATTTTAAATTCATTTAAAACTGAATAAAAAATATGCTAATAAAATGAGCATGTAATTTAAAAAAAATTATAACAAAATCATTAAAATAACATTACAAAAAGATTCATCATAGTATAATTATTTTTCTCCCTCTTTCGTCATTCTTCAAGAGACATTTTAAATAATAAGTTATAGATTTAAATGAGACAATATATTATATGATAAAGTCCAGAAAAGCAAATAATATACAGAGCTACCCCAGTATCCAAATACAATACATTTCTAAAACACTTCAAATATTTTACAACTTCTTATGAAAAAAAATTAACTCATTCCAATCCATCTGAATAACCCTAGTCAATTTCTCAAAACAACATTAAAGCACTGTAAAAACTTTTTCACTTATCAATGTATGATTTTAGTATAATATTTAAACATTAAAATCTCCAATTAGCTTATTAACAGACACTCAATAAGGCCATTAAAGATTTTGTTTGTAAGCAGTAACATAATAAACAAGTTCTGTTTTTATATTCTTTTAGTAATATTAAAATAGTATAAAAATGAAAATAAACCTACTTTAATGAATTCTAAAGAATAAGCTTATATGATTATACTAAACTTAGTGATAAAAATTACCAAACTGCACAACCATAATAGAATATAGACCTAACATCACCAAAACAAACAAATATATGCTGGAAAATAGTTCTTATTTCCCCTTTTATTAGTGTGACTTTTGAAGTTTGTACAAGTATGCTTCAAAGAAATTTACAATACCAAGATCATTTGATTCAGGTATTATGATGTGTACTAAAGACTGAACTGAAATGATGAGGTACAGCAACACAACACACAGGTCATTTGTCAAGAGGTGGTGTCTCCAGAGATGCCTTTCTACAGAAAACTGGCACGTAATTAGACATTAGATATATGAAGAAAACTTTGAAAACTCCACATAGCCAGCCTGTTGATCGGATGCAAACACATAGTCAACTATCAGTATTCAGTGGTTTATCTACTCAGTTACTAGGGCATGGGTACTAAGAAACATTTGTAGTAGTAGGAATTTGGATACTGGAATATAGCTGTGTATGTGTATGTTTTAGACTTTCATAAGTTAACATTTTCTTCTTTTAAAACAGATACTTATGTAAGATATGATGCATTATTTATATTATTTTTTAATGTAATCTCTGTAGTTAAGCAGAGAAATAATAAAGTGACATATAATCTAATTCTGTTTTTGGAGAAAATAAATATAGACAATTTTTTTACCATGACTTAACACTCAATATTTGAATAGGAATGTGAATAAAATAATCATACCAATTTTGGCTCCTTAAATGTTTGACTATTAATCATATCCCATGCTTGTAATCCTAATGCAAGCATTCTAAGCAAAAGAACCAACACCTGATTATCCTATAAAATAAAACACATTAATATATTAATTTATTAAAAATAAAATTATTTAATGTTTTTATTTTTTAAAAAATCAATCCTTAAAATATATACACAGGCAGCAGATTAAGTGGATCTGTCACTATTAAAATGAATTACAAAATACTTTTGAATTTTATTGATTTTTTTTTACTTAAATTTGAAATGTTTCTACTTGATAAATGATTTAATTATTCTGATTAGATCATATCCCATGTTATACAAGTACTCTAAATCAGCATGTCTAATTGACAAGTTTTGATAGAATTTTTTACAACTTCTTAATATGATTATTGTTACCATTAATATACAGGTGATTTCAAAAATGTTAAATTATTCCTTAATCATTTCCATAACTGCACTATCACAATAACAAACCCATAACCATTAAATATGCAGTAATTAACATTTATTAATCTAAATTAATCATCAATATCTTACTTAATTATCAAATTATATGTGCACAGTAACATTGATTACATGTATAATAATATGCAATACATATTTATTATATTGTACACAATCAGCTATACCATAAAGTTTGTAGTATTCATAATATAACAATAAACCACAATAAAATATACAACGTGTCACATAAGTTCTGGAATCATATAAGTTATGTTAAACGTTGTTTATTATTTTTATTTTATACAGATAAAGCATGTCACTGAGTAAGGAGAAACAAATTCAAGTTATTTTGATGGTGAGGATCTGTAGTCAGCATGAAGTTTTCAAAGAGCATAACAAGCTGCATCTAGATTTTCCATACAGTAATTTGGTTGCAGCCAAAACACAGTTGTGTTTTGGCTGCAACCAAACTACTTGTTAACTAAACTACTAATTTAAACTACATGTTATTGGTGGCAAATCTGGATGCAGCTTGTTAGACAGCTCTGCAGAGATGAAGTTAACGGAATATTATATGAAAATTTATAAAAGACAATGAATTGTCTAACAGAGACAGAGAAATTAAATAATAGTAAATTGAAATCATTTATTGCATTAATTTAACAAGAATTTAACCAGGAAAAAGTAAAAACATTCAAAATGTCTTCATTTGTTCTCTAATGAAGCTATGAAACAACTATAGTAATCACCATCATTCTGATTAAAACTTTCATTAATTTAGCTTTTGATGATTTGATTCAATAAAAGAATAAATTCAAAATTTAACCAAGTTATAAAATTAAGGTATGAAATTGTATGTATTTTTAGAAAGTAACTGATTGTTGGAAATTCATTAAATTACTTCATATTGTTTTAATTTCATCAAATACAATCATATCATTAATTGAGGGGCTTGTTGGATATTAGGAAGTTTTTGAGAAATAGGAGAATTTCTTTTTTAATTCACCAGCATTTTAATATATGACATTTTATTAATGTGGGTGACAACCCCTGGGGCAATGCAACTGAACTGTGAAATTTTCTTAGATGACAAATTGATGATATACAAATGAAATTGTTTTTAGTATTTTTGTAGTTTTGTGGTATACACTGTTTCTCCACTAATCCCCCGAATTAAAGATTAAAATAAAATTAGCATTATTCTAAAATAGAGAGTAAAAAAATTGTCAGAATAATAAATATAAAAAACAATAAAACTGGAATAAAAATTAAATGTGTTTATTATAATTCTGTCAATTTTAAATATGTATTTAGTATTTAGCTATCTTAATAATATATTACTTACTGTTGGCACTAAATGCTTATTAAGTTTTTAGATCAAAAGAGTTCTATTTTTAAAGTTGTAAGAGTTTTATTTCATATAATACAGCTATATACAGTGGGTGATCGGTTAACGAACAGATCGGACAACGAACAAATCAGATAACGAACACTTTTGCGAAAGATTTTTATGTTCGGACAACGAACACATGATCGGATAACAAACACCCCACAGAACAAACACAAGAAGAAGCGACGTAAAATAACGAATACCGATTGGACTTTCCTTGTCTTCGGGCAACAATTCGAAACTTTTCGGAGTGTGGGAGACGTCGAAATCTACGCTCAAGCCGGTATATACCGATCGGATAGTATTCCTCCGAACTTTAAAACTCTCCCTTATAATTCCAGCCTTTTATTTTTATGAGAAAATAATTCTTTTATGTATTCGTGAGACTGTCGGGTAGGCACTCGTTAAGTTTTGCGTCTGTTTTTTTTTGTAAGGTGAGAATATAATAGCAAAGGTAAAGAGTTGGCAGAAGATGCCTAATGTTGCTGGGCAGTATGGCGTTATAAGTCTACAGTAGGCTGCAGTTCATTTTTTTAAGAAAAATACTGTATAATCAAGAAGACTCAAGCAGCTAAACGAGTAACAAAAATCACATCTGAGAAATATAGAACATCGAAGAGTTCATAATGGAACCTGAAACGGATCTGACGACAGAAGAATGCCATGAACTCTTGAATGAAGAACACCAAGAAACTCGGCGAGATATGTTTTCTTCTGAAAAAGAGGATTAATGCCGATATCTGTTATTAAAGATCCTTTGAAGAAGTGTGAGGATGTCAGAACAACGGTCTTAGAATGGCATCCAAACCAGGTTGAGGCTTGGGGATTTCTACAATTGCAATGCTATTAATTACTTACGAAAAATCCTGAAGAAGAGAGAAAAGCAATCGACATTAAACAGATTCTTTAACCCTTTCAAACTGAAAAAACATGACTAATAAAAACGCAAGACTGTGTACGTATGTATTTTTATTATTATATATAAATAAACGTAGTAAGAAAGTATATATTTTTTATTTTGGGGAATCTCCAGAACGAATTAATTAAATTTCCATTAAAACCTATGGTAAATCGATAATCGGTTAACAAACAATTCGGATAGCGAACAAAGCCTGGGAACGGATTATGTTCGTTAACCGATCACCCACTGTATTTTTATAATAGTAGTTTTAAACATTTAAGTGAAATTAATAAAAAATTCATACAATTAATAGATAAATAAGCTAGATCATCAATTGATTTTTATTGATAATTTATTGAAGAATTTTATTCTGTTAAATCTCTAAGGCTAAAATTTTGACTAAAAATATAAAGTCAAAGAAACAATTTAAAAATAATCAAAACAAAAAATTATTATCATAATTGTATAAAACAGAAGTTAATTTAAATTTGTTTATATAAAATGCAAAGAACTTTTATTATAAACATAGAAAAAATTCTTACTCTTGGAAGACTTTCAACATTGATTAAATAACCAAGAATTTTCAAAGCTGAAGAAGCCAAAAAATTAATTGCATAAGGATCAGACAGTGTCATTGAAAGATCCCTATAAAAATAAAAATTTTATAAACATTGGTTATTAGTTTTTCAAAAAATTACAAAAACATACAAATTAATTTTTATATCTACACAATCAATTTCCAATTATATTTATTCATATATAAGGTTTGATGGTTAACTAACTTCACTGCTGGCCATTAAAATTGTTACACCAGGAAGGAAAGCAAATAGCTGAATCATATTTATTTTACACGTACAGTATAATGGGAGGAAGACATGATTAAATTGACAGGTAATCTTGAAGTACAGAGCATGTATACCTTTCATGGAAATTTTGCATTTGTTGCATGCTACCTTCATGGTGTAACAATTTCAATTATATATTCATTATCATATTTTTTATGCAACTTATGAATATTACTGACACATATTTTAAATAATATTCAATGATAAAATTTTTATTCATTAAAAAATTTATATTTTAATTACCCAAGAACTTGTTCTTGTCCTTTCTTAATACTGTCTAAAAAACCTTGCAGTTCTCTGGAACGTTTAACATCTACATTTTTCTCACGTATGCAAGCATCTAAACACCATGTAAATTTATGACATGGATCAACACAGGTAATTTCTTGTACCTTTAAAAATTAAATAAAGTAAATATTAATAAATTAAGTAGAGGTTCACCATCAATTTTCTGGCACTCTTGGTTCCAGAACTGTACTGGATTAATTAACAGTGGTCACATAATAATAATAATTCAGTAATTCATATGATTCACTAATGTATTTCCTGAATCTCTAAAGTATTATAGATTGATGAAAATTTAAATAAGTATTAAATGTGAATTAAACAACACATGTTGCCAGTGATAACCTCATAACCTAGTCTGACACGATGAAGAAAATTCAAATGTCCACTCATAATTATGTTCAGATTAAAAGAGATGCTAGACCATCAGTTGCATATACCGAATATCTTACATACTAAGTAAACCTACATTAAGTTCCTACATTCAAGTTTCTTCAGTTCATTTCAAGTATTGATACTTGATAAGAATCTCTGAAGACAAGATAAAGAAACTTGGAAGTACTAGGAATTATTTATAGTTTTTTATATGTTCTCCATTGAAGCATAAACTAGTCAACTGTTTATCAAGAATTGAAGATTAATACTGAATACTACATATAACAATAGAATGTAAGATGCAATTTACAAAAGTTGTTGTTAATTAGTTATTGATAATAGGTATTTTAAAACTATTTTTATTACCCTAAACAGTAAAACATTCTTTTAAATAAAACTATAAATCTTTATTTGTGTATTTAAATCTATAGTAAAGCCTATTACAGAGGTTAAAAATTATCATCTCCCACAAAAACTACATTAAACACAAGATAAAAATACAACAATTACTTAAAAGGAAAAAAATCCTTACTAAATGACTGTACTGAAAGAAATTTCCTTTTACTTTTTGCTTTTAACAAGCTTTAAAAGGCTTTACTATAGAATTAAATAAGTAAATAAAGATTTAAAGTTTTATTCAAAAAAATCCTTCACTACTAAAGATAATAAAAATATTTTTATAATATATGTTATATGTTATGGACAAAGTGATTAATATAGGCATTATTCATAAGAACCAACAAAATCAGGTATTTTAATAAATTTCAATAAGTTATCAAATTGACTGGTCATTATGAATACTGCTATCATCTAGTCGGGCAAAATGATGAAAATATGTTGAGGAGTGATCATCCAAAATATGCTAGCCAATCAGCACTCGCATCTGAGTTGTGTGTGAATATTGTGTTTAGTACCGAATTTGGTGGCAGTTGTGACTGTTTGTGCTCTGGACGGATTCCTCCTGGAGGGGAGCTGCTGGCAGGCCACCGACTGTTTAACATTGCTAGTTATTGGTTTACGGTAGTTCTTGAACATATGTATCAATAAGTAGTATGTATCAATAACTAGTGATGTTAAACAATTGGCGGCCTGCCGGCCACTCCCCTCTGGGAGTATTCCGTCAAGAGCATAAACAGTTGTGACCGTCGCCATGACAGTGCACATAGGTAAAATTTTACCATTTAATTAATATAGTTAATAGTACTTAGTTTTAAATGATTACATGTTCTTTTTAAAATGCTTTGAAATAATTCACAAAAAAATAAATATTTCTAAATGAAATAAGTGGAGTTATTTAATCAAATTAAAATATCGCACAATTTAAAATTCGGTACTAAACGCAATATGCACTCAACACGATACAATTGGCAACTCAGAGTGTCGATTGGCTAGTTGTCAGATGATCACTCCTCAACATATTATCATCACTTTGCCCAACTACATGATAGCAGTATTCATAATGACTGGTCAATTTGATAAATTAATCAATATTTATCACACTGCACGCCCTTTTTGGTCATTATTCATAATGACTGGGCCTTATGAATAATGCTCAATTAATCACTTGGTCCATAACATATTAACAACAACTTTTGTTAAGTTGTATCTTATATTCTATTGTTATATATAGCATTCAGTATTAGCTTGCAAGGAAAGTACACTAAATGACTACCTGACTTCAGTATTTCATATTTAAAATTTCATTCCTGGCACTAAGNGAATGTAAGATGCAATTTACAAAAGTTGTTGTTAATTAGTTATTGATAATAGGTATTTTAAAACTATTTTTATTACCCTAAACAGTAAAACATTCTTTTAAATAAAACTATAAATCTTTATTTGTGTATTTAAATCTATAGTAAAGCCTATTACAGAGGTTAAAAATTATCATCTCCCACAAAAACTACATTAAACACAAGATAAAAATACAACAATTACTTAAAAGGAAAAAAATCCTTACTAAATGACTGTACTGAAAGAAATTTCCTTTTACTTTTTGCTTTTAACAAGCTTTAAAAGGCTTTACTATAGAATTAAATAAGTAAATAAAGATTTAAAGTTTTATTCAAAAAAATCCTTCACTACTAAAGATAATAAAAATATTTTTATAATATATGTTATATGTTATGGACAAAGTGATTAATATAGGCATTATTCATAAGAACCAACAAAATCAGGTATTTTAATAAATTTCAATAAGTTATCAAATTGACTGGTCATTATGAATACTGCTATCATCTAGTCGGGCAAAATGATGAAAATATGTTGAGGAGTGATCATCCAAAATATGCTAGCCAATCAGCACTCGCATCTGAGTTGTGTGTGAATATTGTGTTTAGTACCGAATTTGGTGGCAGTTGTGACTGTTTGTGCTCTGGACGGATTCCTCCTGGAGGGGAGCTGCTGGCAGGCCACCGACTGTTTAACATTGCTAGTTATTGGTTTACGGTAGTTCTTGAACATATGTATCAATAAGTAGTATGTATCAATAACTAGTGATGTTAAACAATTGGCGGCCTGCCGGCCACTCCCCTCTGGGAGGATTCCGTCAAGAGCATAAACAGTTGTGACCGTCGCCATGACAGTGCACATAGGTAAAATTTTACCATTTAATTAATATAGTTAATAGTACTTAGTTTTAAATGATTACATGTTCTTTTTAAAATGCTTTGAAATAATTCACAAAAAAATAAATATTTCTAAATGAAATAAGTGGAGTTATTTAATCAAATTAAAATATCGCACAATTTAAAATTCGGTACTAAACGCAATATGCACTCAACACGATACAATTGGCAACTCAGAGTGCCGATTGGCTAGTTGTCAGATGATCACTCCTCAACATATTATCATCACTTTGCCCAACTACATGATAGCAGTATTCATAATGACTGGTCAATTTGATAAATTAATCAATATTTATCACACTGCACGCCCTTTTTGGTCATTATTCATAATGACTGGGCCTTATGAATAATGCTCAATTAATCACTTGGTCCATAACAGATTAACAACAACTTTTGTTAAGTTGTATCTTATATTCTATTGTTATATATAGCATTCAGTATTAGCTTGCAAGGAAAGTACACTAAATGACTACCTGACTTCAGTATTTCATATTTAAAATTTCATTCCTGGCACTAAGTATTTATAATAATTTTAAATACTTTAGAATAATTTTAAATAATAAATAATAATAAAAAAAATAAGTATAACATTTTTCAAAAAGATTTTTAAGGACAATTTAAAATTGTTTTATTACAAAATTGTAAAATTTTAAATGAAATTTTGTCATATCCCAGTAATCAACTGTCTGAAGACCACAGTTTTAGTAGTATTGATCTATATAACATTTATACAACAAAATATCCTCTTGAAAAAAGTAAAGATCAATGCCTTTACTTTTTATTTTACATATTATTTAATTATATATATTTTTTAAAGGCAAGTTCATGTATTCTTGAATTTGTATTTCATATTAGTTCAATCTTTCAAACCTGAAAATGGTCATCTATAAAGCCAAAAACATTCATTCAAATGTAAAGTTTTAAAAGATTACCTCTATGTAATTTATTTATTGGCTGTTTAATAAGCTGTTTTATTACTTTGAGATTATAATTCTTTATCACTTATCAATCTAACTCATGGAAAAACTATATATACCCTCAGTAATAATTTAGAAATTTACTTACTTCAAGATCATGAAGTGCCATAAGAAGTTCTGCTCTCAATGTACAATAATGAACATTAGAAGTTCGTAAAAATAATGTACGTAAAAACTGTAGAACCATATCATATAATTTAACATTTTTTCCAATCATTGTCAATAAAGTTTGTACTACTTTTCCTTGCCTGCGTTGTTTAGGGGAGGGAATAAAAAACTGTGCTGTAGGGTCTGTATGATTAAATAATACTTCTTCTTTTTCTTTAGTGTATTGGCTAAGATAAGGTGAAACTTCATCTCCAAATAAAGCCTGATTATGTTGCCAGATCTGTCTTTTTACCTAAAAATACAATAAAATATATAATTATTATAATAATAAATTGTAAATAATGATACTAATGCACTCAAAATTACCAACATACTTAATTTTTAGTTAGTTACTTTAATTAGAAAGTTTAGTTTGTTGTTTAAGTAATTAGTATTTAATAAAACAACAATAAGTTGTCAAAAATAATAAATATAAAATAGTATTTTTTTTAGCATATTAATCATTATAAGCATTCTTCTAAAGTCTCTTCAGTCACTAACAAGTCATAGATCATACCATATTTTCTCTGACACTGATTCTTTAATAAAAAATATATAAAGTTTTAAAGAAATGTGCTAAAAAGTAAAAAGTAAATTTTCTTCAGCTTTCATAGTATTCTTGGTATTATGTGACCTAAAATAAAAGTATTGAATGTTCATGTTTAGATATATTCTTACTCACACTTTCTATCAACTTTTATGGCTACCTACAAGCACTTCACACTGAATTATCTAAATTCTTCTTGTTTTAGCATTTAATTGGGAAGGGATGAAAAACTGAGTTGCAAGATTTTATGTAGATAGTACAAATAAAATGGGCAATACTTTGCCTTATGTGTAGCATCATCTGTTATCAGATTTTTACAAATTTTAAATATATACAGTATGCATGCAAAGTTTCAACTAGATCAGAAATTCAGAAGTGGGTGAAAATTGAGCTACTTTATCTGGACAGACAGACATACAGCATACGTTAATAAAAAGCATATAATAAAGAAAGCAACTGCTACTTTTCTCACACAATATTTTATAAATATTTTCTACTTATAATAAGAATGACTTGGCTTTGATGTACAATAATATATATATTTAATACTGTATAATAAAGCTACAGTGGTTCACTGTAGCTTTATTATGAAATGTTTATGAAGCTCTGCATGAAATGTTTGAATAGAAGCAGACTTTGTTCAGATTAATGCATTTGAAAGGGAAATTTCAAATATATTATATTACCGGAAAAACCTGAAATCTCAAAAAAAGTCAAATTTTTTAGGTTCTGTAAAACATCAAAATTTGAACTTTGATGCCTCATGGAATGTCACATTGTCTATTGAATGATTAATTTAAGTACTAACTTCATATTTTTAATTTTCTTTTTTTTATTCATTTTCTCTACATTATTTTAAATAATATTTTCATTCTGTCATTGCAATGGCATAATAGAATGAAAATCGTGATTATTCTTTACTGGATTTTAACATTATTTATAGTTATTTAATTAATATATATATAAAATTAATATTGTTTAAAAAACTATAATTTGAACAAAGAAATGAGAGTGTCATGAAGTAATGTGAAATGTTGGGATTAGATTATTGAAGCCTCTAGTGTATGTATATAACAGTATATATAGTCAAATATTATGTACTTGTATTAAAACATTATAACACAATATTAAACAGCTCTCCAACAGATGAATAATTTATCATTGTGTGCACGTCAGAAAGTTGTGTTAGTTTTGAACAACTTCACAGAAAAACCAGAAGAAAGTTTGAGACCATACAAAAAAATTTGATTTATGTTATATTGACTTGATTTTTGCAGTGGTAACTTCTCTTCAAGATTTTTCATTGAAAATCGTTGTTTCTGTAATTTCACTCACTTGTTAGTGAGAAGAAAAGTGACATATGACTTTATGGCATGAATCCAATGATATTTTACAATTAGTAATTATATGAATATACAGTAGATTTATAAGCTGCTCTTCAGAGAATGATTCCATTTTTTTTATAATTGAAAAATTACAAAAGTCTTCATTACATTACCTTTCTCAATTTAATTTTTCAATTTGCAGTAGAAGTTCATTAATCCACCACTTCAGGCATCAGAATTATCAAAAATGCCAGATTACCAAATATTTTTGTATTTTTGCAAAATTTGATGATAAGTTATATGAAATCTGAACATTAAAGACATTGCATACATTCTAGACCCTCATACTCTATTGTATGCTCAGATCTGTTTACATACATTCTTTAATCAGTCTGAAGATGATATAGTGCATAACTATACTGTGTTAAGATTGATTGCAAAACCTTCCAAAATGCTAATGAATACATTATTATCCAGGGATTTTAATGCAGCATATATCAAACAACTTTCAATTCATACAATACAAGCATGCCAGATTATCATCGGACAATTCTGGATTATCAGGTGAACATGATAATTATAAGGCATCTTATGTGCTACCATGAGCACAAAAGGCCAAGAAACCTCATATAATTTCTTTCATCCACTTTTTGATGGTGTCCAACTGTTCCTCAGCTTTAACTGGTCAAAAAATGTTTATACAACAGCAAACAACTGCCAGATTACACCAGGCATTATTATAGCCCAAGGTAATCCAGCAATTGTTTGGCATTAAATTAAAAATCAGTTTGTTGGATGTTTATATTTGAATGTTTTGTACTAATTTTGAGATGTTATAAGACTATAATTTAAACTGAGCAACTATCTTTCATAGGAACCAAGACAGGATTTTACCTCATAAGAGGGAGTCTGAAATGCATGGCAACTACATCATGGCCCACTACCAATTACCTATTCTCTCAAGCACTTGTATTTGGCTAATATGCAGTAGAAGCATGATATAGCCTGGTGTGCAATATTTTAGTCTAAACTCTGTATATTAGATAGATCAATTAATATTTTTATAATTATTTTAAAATTAAAAATACTGATTTTTTATAATAAATTGAAATTTAAAATAAATTACCTGTACAGCACATTCTTCATAAAATTGTTTATCAGCTACTAACTGTTTCAAATATTTATCATCCACTTGATTCATATTTTTTAATATACACATTACTACAGGTCGTAGTATGGGAATCTAAAATTTAAAAAGTTTATGATTTAAATTATGACAAAACAATATTTATATGTTGGGTTATAGTTTGAAAATGCTTATTTAAACTTAAGAAAAGCAATAAACATCTTGACTTTGCCTTATTTTACAAATCATTAATGAAGTTTTGCATTAATGACAGTGAAAAATTAATTTTTTTTAGTGAACAGTAAGTTCATATGAACTTTTAAATATTAACAGTTTTGGAACTATACATGCTAGAATTAATCTGTAAAAAAGTTTATAAGACTGATATGTCTAGTTTTTTCTCATTATTTCAAAAATTGATTATTCTTTTCCTTACCCATTATTATTATTATTATTATTTATTTTTTTTTTGGGACTTCAAAATTACTTTTGTTTTCAGAAATGTTATTGACTCATGGACTCTAGACAGAAGTGACAGATTTCAGCTCAGCTAATCAAATAATGCAGCTTATTTTCCCTTCTAGAGAAGCCATGGGCCAATTTATAATGAACTAGTAAAGCCAAAACTATTATTATTTAAAAGTGCTCAAGGATTTTATAAATACTCTGTATACAATGAATTTTCTTAAGAAAATGTATTAAACTATATAATTATCAATTTATTAAAAACCGTAAGCAGACTAATCAATAATATTGTACTGTATTTAAAATTATTTATACAAGATTTCAACATTAGCCCACTAGACATTTAAAATTTTTGAACAAATTAGTTTTCAATATCTATAGTAACAAATATAACTGGAAGGAGACACAAAAGACAAAAATGCTTACTTAAACACAGTAGTCAATGAGAAATCTAAAATGTTTTATGTTAAGTATTCAGTTGCATCAGTTGTAAAGTACTATTTGATTTGGTTACAGTGTTTCCATAAGCATTATTAATAGATCAAAAATAAAATTTATTTATATTTCATATATCTTATCATTATACATCAAATTATGTAATAAAGTAAACTTCTCATATCTAAATCATATATGAATGATTAAAATATAATTTTGTTCTGTTTTCACTTTCCCAGCTGTTATAACATAACATGCGAAAGTATTGTAATCATCTCAAATCTTTACTTTCCTAGCTGTTTTCATGTAACATGGGGTTACATTCTCAACTGTTATAATATTGTAATCATGTCACATTTGACCCTCTGGATTCTTTGGAATCGTGATGTTTTGACACCTCTGAATCCAAAAGAGTAAAAAAGTGATACCAAAAATATGCATGCATGTGTGAGCATCTATTTTGTTTAATATCTCAGGATAGGGTAATGATAAAGAATGAAATTTAGCATGGTAGTTTACGTATAAGGAGCATTGATGCTATTAAATTTTGGTGGTTACAGGTCAAGAGGGTGAAGAGATAGTGGTGGTCACATGTCAAGAAGGGTCAGAATTAATGAAGATTTTACTCATTAATGTTTACAATTTTTTTACAAAACTCATCACTACTCTCAAAATTAAGCTTTCTTTTTTTATAACAAAACCTCATAAATGGTGCCAAACACAATTTTATTTATTATGCTTAATAACATAAAAGTCATTTTTTTTAATAAAATCTCATAACAGTTGGGAAAGTTACGTAACTCATGGCTGGATTTTTTCCTCTTATTTATTATATAAAATTGTTTTTAATAAAATAAAGTTAAAATATTTTAAACTTTATTTTATTTACTTCTTTTTCATATGTTAAGTTTTAAATTGAGAAAACACTACATGATTTTTATTTGAATGAGTATATGATTATAAAATGATAGATTAATTTGATTTTTTAAAATAAAATTTCTTCTTTTCATTTAGTTTTTATTTCTAAATAATTTATTACGTTTTCATATCTTTATTAATCAATCTAAACAACAATTCTATAATTTATTTAATCAAATATACACTATTATGTTCATCTGAATTTTTGATACATCCATTATGAAATCATATCTTTAATATTGAATTTGTTAACAGAAAATTTAAAAATTGTATATTCTAAAAATATTACTTTCTTAATTTTATGAATATTTAGAAAATTTAATTTAAAATGTTACTTGGACAACAAATAATACATTAAGCTTTCATAAGGAAATTAAAAGTAAACAATTTATTTAAATTCAGTCAAACTAAAGTGACTTATTGTTTCTTATGAAATAAGATTATATGTCGTATGATTAGAAAATTTAGTTATAAAAATCTCTGAAAATTCTGAAACACCATTTTGTTCAATTTTCAATAACCAATATTTGTTTAAAACTTTTATTTTTTAAATAACATTTAATTTACCTTAATAACAGGAAAACTTTTCTGTAACAGCTCTTTTAATTTTTTCTCCTTTTCTTGATTGTCATGCTCTTGTTTTCCAAGGTTTTCAATTTGCATCAATAGTTGCTCTTTTAGTTCTTCTAGAACTGATGTATGAAATTCAAGTCTTCTCACACCATGAAGGTCTAGCAGTGGTAGCATTGGCCTAAGAGATGGTAACAAAATTCCATTTTCTGTTTGAAATTCTTCAATGGCACGAACTGGATCAGAACAGTTTGTAAGTGCTTCACGCAAATATTCTTTACCAGGAATGCCAACTTCTTCCAATCCAGCCATTCTAGTTTTTTAAAACCTGTTATAAAATTTAAAAAAGAAGTTTAAGTAAACTTCAGTAAATTATTAAGATAATCATGTTTGTAAATTAAAAATAATATACATCACTATTCAATGTAATAAATAAGCATGCTAGTTTTAAGCAAATAAGCATTATTTTCAATATACTGTACAATTAATTGCACATTTACTAAAATTTAAGAATTAATTATTAGAGATACATAATGCTTCTGATATTATTAGAAAGCATAGATTTTATATGAATATTGTTCTGATCTAAAACATAAATTTTCTCTATATATTTCAACATATTAGCCTTAATTCCTTAATGATTAGAAGTAAAATCCAAGTCTGAAATATTGATACATGCCATCAACTTTACATGATGGGCATGCTGCCCAGTAAAGTGGCTCAATTGAGTATCTCAGTACTCAACTAAGTAATCACCACCCATTAGAACAAATTTTCGATTAATAACAAATATTTTTATTTTAATAAATTAAAATAGAAAATTCACCAAGACTTTATTTGCTGAGAAAAACATATCTATATTAAGTACAGACAGTTGTTAAAGCTGAGTTAATTAAAATTTCTGCCACATATAAAAAGGGATTGCCACAATTAATTTTGTATATTAATCAAATCCCATGTTAAGAAAAACCTCATTATACAAAAGATATCTGTACAAGGTCTGTTCAAAAAGTTATCTGACCTTTTTTTTTTCCATGTAAACCAATTATGCGTGAGAGGCCTCCTTCGGTGGAGTTGTGGAGGGGACAGTCATGCACAGCCCTGAATTTTTTCCCGCCTGCAGGAAGCGTCAGTCGTTGGCATTCGGCCTATGAGTGAGGTCATGTAGTGCACTCTTGTCAGATTCCACTAAGCTGGAAAATGACTGAACAGCGTGAGCAGCGATATTACATCAAATTTTGCCAAAAACCTTGGCGATACCTAAGCGTAAACCATTCGCAAGATTCAGCAGGCTTTCAGGGACGATCCCCGAGGCCAAAAAAAGCGCGGCAGGTCCGCAGCAATACCAAAGGTCATGTTGACAGTTTTTTCGACTCTCGTGGGGTGGTGTGTCGTGAGTACGCACCACAAGGCCAAACCATCGCAAAGAAGTACTACCAGGAGGTCCTTCGTCGTCTTTCCGATACAGTGTGACACAAATGACCGGATCTGTGGTCGATCAAAACTTGGTAGCTCCATCGTGATAACGCATCCGCCCATTCCGCGCATCTGATTCGGGCTTTCGTCGCCAAACACAATACTCCTGTGGTTCGTCACGCTCCATACTCTCCCCACATGGCTCCGTGTGACCTTTGGCTATTTCCCAAGCTGAAAATGCCACTAAAAGGAACCCGAATTTAGTCGAGAGAAGACATCATGCGAAATCCGACAGACCGGCTGATGGCCATTCCAAAAGATGCGTTCCAGCTGTGTTTCCAGCAATGGCAGGAACGCTGGGAGAAGTGTATACATTACCAAGGAGACTACTTTGAAGGGGATTAGGGTTTCGTACCTCAAAATCAATAAATTTATTTTTGCCGACCAAAGGTCTGATACTTATTGAACAGACGTTGTATTCAATAAAAATAGGTTGAATAGGAACAAGCATTAAACTTTATTATTCTTTACCGTGTGGCTGTTCCTAGTATTTGAGTCTGATGTGCTTTTTTTCTGTTTCATCCAGTGGTCAAATGCATATGACTTTTATGCTGTTTATTTTTCATTTGTGTTGGGTGACAGCAGGGGCTAGCAGAGAGTGAGGGATAGAAGAGTATAAATAAAATTCACAAACCTTACAGTTTTTGCATTTAGTTGTGAAAACTGTTATATCTCTAATGTTTTCACTCCACATCTAGGACCTTCCTCAGGTAGAACTTCTTATACAATTAAATCTTTCTGGTATTAGTATTGCTATCTTGGAATGCATGCGAGACTCTGACATATTCGAATTTTGAATGTTTTCTTTTAAAAAACTTTTTCTTTCGTTATCCAATCCACTTTTTGTCTTTAAAATTGACAGATAGGCCCTGTCAGTCTGCTTTAAATATTTCCAATGCTTCTAAATTCTTAAACTGATGTATTGTAAAGTAAAAAACAAATATCAAAGCCATGGTAAGCTATATTTGACTTGACATTATAGAGAACAATGCAGGTACACCTAATTCGATAACAAAAAAAAAAAAACATTAATTGCATTCCAAGATTGAATGCTAACACCAAAAAATGTGATTTTTTAGAAATTTCTACCTGAAGAAAAGTCCCAGGTGTGGACTGAGAACATTAGTGACATAACAGTTTTTATAACTAAATGCAAAGTACAATGTTTATGATTTTATTTACAATGATTAATGCTTTGTTGTTGAAAGATTACTTTATAGGTAGAAGAGTGTCAGTGTGGGAAATGGCACCCTTGCCACCCAAACGAGCTACAAATCAGGCAAAGTCAGACAAGGGATTAATTAAGCTTCAGTGGATGCTGTTTCATTTCATTAAATTTTATACAGTTTATTCATTTTATACATTTATTTTAAAATTTCTTATATGCTTCATTTCTATTTACAATATCTATCATTCATAAAGTAAAGAAAATTGAATTTTGTTGGACATTGAAAGAGGAGAGGGGATATAGAAACTCAGACAAACGAAAAAGGGGAGTAAATGTTTCAAGGAAAATACAGATGTAATTTATGAACAGCCCCTTATTGTTTGGTTATGTAATTCATTCTTCTCAATTGTATGACATCAATAACAATATAATTGTGAATGTAATTACCATAATTTTAATTATTATTAAAGTAATAGCGTATTAATATCATGTAAAATAAACATATACCATCACGTGAAACATGTGACAGACATTTTATAATAATTGTCAGTTTCATTTGTACGTGTATTAAAGTAAAATATAGATAAAAATTAAAATCTAAAAAATAAAACATCTTTTATGGATGTAAAAAAAAGATACAAACGAAACGACTTACAAATAATTCTTTCTTCTTATAAATGTTTTCAAAGGATCCGCCAGCCGGTATAAAAACAATTCAACATGATCTCCATACAACTAATTTTTAAATTTCGCGAAAGATGGCGCCTCGAAAATCAAACAAAATTAAAAGTATATATATACAATAATTTGCGATCGTTGAAAACATTAAAAAAAATTAAATTATTACTTAGAAAAACTTCTAAAATTTAGAAATAATATTATTTTTTCTTAACAAACTAGAATTTAGTTTAATTTTTTTTTTAAATTAATTCATAATGGTCGATCAGCTATTGTGTCAGCCCAAGGACTATATACTACAAAGATAGCCAGATCCCTATTCTACAATGTTAGCCAGGAATGGCAAGTTAGTGACGTCAGCACGTGTCCTGACCTCTCTGTTTACATAGAGCAGAGTGTGCACGTGTTTAGTTTTCGCTTTTAATATTCGTCCAATTTTGTGATTAACGAAGTGATTTATTTTAATATTTCTGTAATTGTTTTATTTGACTAAGTTTTTTATAAGGTAAGATGATTTAAATATAAGTCATTAAATATTTAAAGCTATATTTTTATGTTAGGTGAAGAACAAAAT